TCGAAATCAGTTGACAATAGAGGAATAGGCGGAACGCGAGGGTTTTTATAAGATGGATTTACTTTTGCCAGAAGTAGAACGTCACGAACGAAAGCGATAATTATTCAGCCAATCTGTTAATTGGGCATATGAAATATCAGTTATGAATATTTTAAGTAATTATTGAGAGTGAAGAAAAATTAAAAATAATAGGAATTAAATCGTAGAGAAATAAAAAGATAAATTTCCTTATTGAATGGCAAATTTTAAAATAATTTATCAACAAATTGCTCGACACTTCGACCCAAATTCACAGAACAATGTTTTCAACACAAATTAACCTCAGATTCATCAAATTCTTAGAAAAAATAAAAATTTTTTTAAATGAAACGATAGTCGCCCTTAAATATTTATCGGATTACATAGAAATCGAATATATTGAGTGTAGGCAAATAGCTTTATCTGATTACTTTGATCATTATCTCTAAATAAATTAATTATATTAAATTAATACTGAATCAGTAACAATCGAATGTAAATGGCAATATATGACAGCAAAAGTACAAAAATATTAACGAGGAAAATTATCATATATAAACGGGGATCAGTGCAGGAATTTTAAAGATGGGATTAGTTTTCTCAAATTTGACTACTAGTTTTAGAATGGAACTCATTAAAATAACTCTTTTTGAGATAGGCTGATGGTAGGAAGAGAGTCTACAAAAGATTTGACTAATGACAATAAGATTTGGGTCTTGATTTGAGGTGGAAATGAAGGGGTCGTTCCGGGTAGTACGACCTATATCTGCGCTTTTGTGTCGCTGTTCCACGTCGATGCATCGCATCATTCAAAGGGACCGTCATGAACGGCAATATCGTCAGCGCGTTAATATCCGTTCCATTCCTGTGCAATTTTTTCCGTGGAATCTATTGAAATAATCAAATAGTCATAGCAGGTCAATAAATCAGGTCAGTCAAATTTGATCCGCTGTTTATTCATAATAAAACAAATTAAATATTTGTTTTGATATTAAACAAGCATTTCTGAGTGCACTTCGCATTTCATTCTTTACTGTTTCAACGGGGAAAGGTTTCGAAACAAGATTATGGTGTATGAAATATTAGATAACAGTAACGTATAATACTTGCCATGGCTCGCCATCTTTTAATCTTCCTGCTTTTTTTATCTAAATCAACGGTACCATGAATCATAGCAGCCTGAAATTTAATGAAGCCATTAAATTTTTAAGTAAAATTTTTGTCTCAATTTTGGTTTCGAAAATGTATGGCAAGCAATCTGGCGAAATGGCCTAAATCATTTCAAGCATCAATCCTTTCCTCTAGCAGAAGCAAACATGTCATATGCCGGTTATGCTGAGAACCTGCCTGTACTTTTAAATTCAGTTCAGTGGAAATTCTGATCTCAATAACCAATGAAGCGAATCGGACCAAAAATAGACGCTAACCAACAATTCAAGAAATTTACTTACCCTAATTTGGTTTAGTCATTAATCATCAAAAAACATCCCTAAAACAAATTTTGAAAAAAATATATTTTTTAGAGACCAATCTATCAACAAACAGGAATCGAACACATGCTGTTCATTCTAATAAGACTACTGTAAATATGGTTGGGAATAGGATAACCAGTTAACGGCTCACCAAGGGTTTGGCTAATAGCAGAAAAAACTGACTCTCTTGCCACCCAACAGACAACGGAATCAAGCCTAACTAGAAATTTTGAGTATTAATCCACTTACTTTGTGCCTTTGGCAATTTAGATGATTTTAATTTCGTCTAATGGCTAGGAATCATGCAAAACTTCACACCTTTGCTTACAGCAAACAAACCGATACTTTCTTGGAGCAGCGATGATACTGATGCTTCAAATCCACCAAACCACCGAAAATCACCAAATTTTTTTTCTTTCTCTCAATTAAAGCACAGAAATGGAATTACTTGTAAAGTGTTATTGTTTAGACGATTCATTAGTTCGCTGGTAAATGGACAAATCATTCGAAAGATTAGAGAAAATTAAATTTATCTTATCTTTTATCTCTTAATTCCTGAATTTTGCTTAACATTTCAAATTCATTCGGTTACATTTATTAAATAAAAGACAATTTAGATATTTTATTCTGATTGTTGAAGAATAAATTTGATGAATAAAAATGTTTTAAGAACCATCAAGTAATTTTTATTTTAAACTTATTCCCTTTACAAATTATTTCACCCTTGCTTCCCTCCTCTGTATTTCTCTTGCCACCCAATTTTCATAAATCTCGCTTTTCGTTCTCAAATTGTATTGCAGTTTTAATACCGAAGATATTTAAAAATACTTAAAATAACTACACTACATAAATATTCATAATTTTGCGTCGGATAATGTCAAAAGCAAGAAAGCCCAATCAAAACTTAAGGTGATTAGGAGATTTCGAATGCAGACCAACGCTTCACGAGCTTAGGAAAAAGCGGAGATTTCAACTGAGGCCCACTGGGAGGTTCGAGTAGCTAATGTAGCCAGCAACATCAGAAATATTAAATACATTTACTAGAAGAATCAATGCTGAATAGAATCCCAGCTGAACTTGAATCAATAAGCATCGAAATGGACTCCATCCCTTCCTCCACCCAACCTATTGAATGACTGAGGGTAGAACTGCTCAATGGGTCCCTACCGTCATTTCAGAACACGACTGCTAGAGTTCCAGAGATTAGGCCTACCTTTACAGAACCCAGTTATTTTGGCGATTCATACTTCTATCTCCCTGGGAAAATCTATATGGCCAGTCAAAGCATCAGAGTGACCCTAACCAATGGGCATTCCCAGAAAAAAGGAAGGCAATATGAGGTCAAAGATTGTGGAACGGTGTTGTTCCTTCGACTTGAGCATTAAATATCCATCACTCCTCGTTTATTCAAGCTATATTTGGAATATACACTTGAAGATGCTAGAAATGCTTGTTTTCAGCTTCGAAATTAGAGAAAGGAATACCGATATTCTAGTGGGGAACAGGCCCATCATTCAAAAACCCGGGAAGAGCTGGCAATCCAACCTCGTTCCGACCCCCAAGTGACTCTCCGCGAAGATTTCCAAGCAGCCAGTCAGGCTAGGAGCAGCGAGTACACCCAATTAATCCTTCACCAATTACTTATATAACACGAGAAAAACTCTTTCAAACTTATCCGCCCAACTTCGCTTTTACCATAAAAAGAAAACCATAAACGATCTGCACAACTTTTCCTGAGAAAACCTTCAACTCCTCGACAAAAATTGTGATCGACCCATCATTCCTTTTTCTTTTCTTAACAAATACCATTTCCGCTTTCGCCATCTCCGCCGGCCATTCGGCTAAGGTGCTCATATAAGCGAAACGCCAGCAATCTCTTTTCTACAGAAAAAATAAAATTTATTCGGATTTATGTTAGAATATTCGAGCAACAATATAGGTTCTTTTTCGTTGAAAAATCTTCATCATACCTCATTCATTGATGAAAAACAATGAAAAAATAAGAAATACAAGGTAATTCACTTTGGTTTATAACATGCATTTGCAATATTAATGTGATAACGACATAATAATAATAAAGAATAATATCGAAGCACATTTGCTATAAAGGCAGTATTTTCCGTAAATATACAAAGCAATTATAAATGAGCATGGAAAGAAATTTAACAGCAATTTCATTAATGTTATTTTTTTACTTTTACTTTTTTACTTTTACTACTAATTAAAATGAAACAAATTAGAAGTAATTAAATCTATCAGTCGAACCAACCACATCCCTTTCGGTGAGCAAATTAGCCATTTTAATTCTTTAATAAATTTATTTGCCTATAACAACTAAGCATGAAAAAATGTAATTGCCCATCAAAGGAAATATTGTAGGATATATAAAATTCTATTTCTATATAATAAATGGAATAAATAAAAAAAAGAAAACCCTGTTGTGAGATTTTCGAAAAAAAGATAAAACAATAATAAACGAAAAAAAATCTGACAAATTGATTTTACAGTTATTAGGATATAAAACTTAAATATAAAAATTAATCTTTAATAATATTTATAATTATTTTAAAAAATTTCTTATAAATTCATGCTTTTTTTCTTTTAAGCAATGCTAAAAATAATAAAGATTATTATTAATTAAAGAATAGCAACGACCTAAAATTAGAGATATTTAGCAATTTAATGAATTTAATTAAAAAAGACTTTCTGACAAAATATTATAGCAATTATAGCAATGAAAGCTGCATAAAACGAAGTGAGATAAAAACAGCATACGAATAATATCGTACGAGTTGCAAAATAATATTTACAAAAAAAATGAAACTAGGGTTAAGAAGTTTTTATTTTTACTAAATCAACCAACCACAGGCATTTTTGAAATCTCTCTACAAAAATGGAATTATAGGAGAGGTTTTCCAATATCGAAAAACGAGAATAAGTCGAAAAATAAGAACAAGAACAATATAACTGAGCGATATCATGATAAAGTTGTTTGGAAAAAAAAGGTATATATACGGCACAACGAAGAATGGATGATAAATAATGATAATGAAAGAAAACTTGTTTTTATGAAACAACCTCTCTAGGATAGAGATCATAAACCCGTCAACGGTATTCATTAAGATTAACCCAATAACATGTTGAATATTGAAGTAGAAAGTAGCACTTGATCCAGGATCGCAATAACATGATAAGTGAGATCACAATAGAAAAAAAAAGTAGTCCTAACTCTGAGGCGAATTCATTTTGCACAGACAGATCTCTCAATTAAAAAAGTGCGCCCAATCCATGTCGATATTCGATATTTCGATATTTAACGATTTAGAAAAGTGGTCATAGTCGTTAATGGTGCAATAAACTGAAAAAGATATGCTTCAAAGATTTTCAAACAATCTAAGGACTTTTCAGTGACCTACAAAATAAAATGTTAATAAAAAAAATTCGCTATTTGTGCATGAATATATGGATATGAGAAAGCTTTTAATTAATGACCGGATTACTGGATATGCCTCATTGACATAAAAGGGTTTTCGTTTGCTCATTCGCAACTTGTTCGAGTATTGCACGAGCTGTCGATTTATTTTCGCCTTCGACATCACTATCAGTCTCAGAATCACGATTGCTTATTGCTCCCATTCCTGGACCAGATAGTGATGAAGGTGTGCCCGGCGTTCCTGGTGTTGTTGAAGAAACAACTCCTAATGGTGAAGTTGCCTAAAAACGAGTGATCCGATTAATAAAGAAATCTGAACTTTCGCACCATCTTCTTTTTAAAATACCATTTGCATTCATTTTCTCTGCTCTAATCAAAATCAAATTTTTCTATCTACCTATTCATCTATTAATAATTATGTATTCAGACATGTTCATAATTTCAACGACTCAGAAAAGAAAGATTCAAATATTCAGAATCTCAATTCTCCAGAGTAATTAGCCCAATAGCAGAAAACAAACTTCTCGATACCAAAGACATCTTTTCTTCCTTTTGCAGTGTTTGCACCACTGATCTTGATTGGAAACTCCAAATCTTGCTCGACATTTCTTCTGTTCACCATTTTCTGAAATTTTTTTATTGCTTAAGTAGTTTGAATAGGTTATTTACCATGATGATAATGAACAAATAAGAAAAAAGAAAAAAAGTTAGAATAAAGAAAAGATCTATGTCCTAGGATAATAATTGCATTTATTTTTCACAGAATTCTTAATTATTTTTTAAGCGGAGAGGGAGAACCGAAATTACTTTTTTTCCACCAAAAAATTTAATAAAAATTTTAAAACAAACGCTGTTTAAAACAAAAATTGAACTTTTTGAACAATATTGCAAACACTTAACATCTATTTACAAAATTCTAAAAAAAAACTCAACTTCTTGAATTATATGTTCTCAATTACCCCGATATTTTACAAACTTCGAGAAATACTGAAGTGTCTTATCAAGATTACAAGTCAAACTACTCAACTTAAGATCATTGGTCGATTTTGCATCAAATTTTCTTACACAACAATTACTGAACTTTTTTAATTGAACGACATCATTTTATAAATTGCATCAGTTATTGTTTTCCTTACACTAATTCTTCACCTTGTCTTACACTTGCCAACAATATTTTTTGTTAGTTTAACTACCCTCGCGATATTTTAACACTGCACAACAAACTGGTTAGTGAGATGAATTACCCTCTCAAAAGAATAAAGATATATTAAAGCTATCACCTATATAATTAAAATTTATTTTAAAATATATTTCAAGCTTTATTTTTTTTTCATTCGCCAATTTTAGAATTTCTTCGTCTTTCTTCTAGCTAATTTATACATCAAGAATCAAATTTCTTTTCAAAAATTTATATGTGATTCATAAACAAATATTTCATTTAAAATTACAGACTATTCTATCGTGAAATATTCTTTAATAATATTTTTTTTAAACTAAAATAATGACGACATAATTGAGTAAATTTTTAAGCTCGAGAAAAAAGTTAATATACCAATCGACTTATCACGTTTTCTCTTCTTTTTCTTATTAATTGCATAATTTTCGCGAGCTGACCATCCAGGATACCTCTGCATATGTTGTTCACGATCTTCTTTTGCCAAATTATAGTACCTTTGCTGTTCTTCCTTCGGCAAATCATGCCACCTCCTGCCAAGTTCCTATAAATAAAATAAATAAACATTGCCATTATCTCAAATAACGAAATAAAATTTTTTCAGACTTATTTTTGAATTATCTCACGAGACTAAATGTTTAAAATAGCAAAAAAAACACAAAAGAATAGAGACACGAAGCAAAATAAACTAAACTTATAAACTAATACTTTATTCAATTCAGCACTTTGACGTTCTTTATAATCCAATTCCTCCATGAGTTTTGGCCTATTTTCTTTCATATACCACATAAAAGCATTGAGAGGTTTCTTAATATGGCGCTCCTGTAAATCGTTACAATAATAAATCAGTTTATAAATAGCATATAGAGAAGAATGAATCAAAAATTTTCCAAAAAATGTTTAAAAATTCAAAATTTATTTTAATCCCATTTTAATCAGATTTCACAACAAACAAATGGAATCGTAATTTTTCTTTCTATTTTTCAAAGAAAAAATTCAAAGGATTTGTTAATTTCAAAAATGATCCTTTAAAAAAACAATCAATAAACGTACATATGTCATTATTTAAAAAGAAATGTTATGTAATTCCTAACTTATTGCGAAAATCTGCAACTTAAATTATATTCCCAATTCTTTAACATTCTACTGAAACAATTAAATATTAAAAATCACAAATCAAGACGTTTAACCAATTCTCTAAACTAATACCAATTTTTCAACTAATGAAACGAAAATGTGAATTGCCGTGACATTTAACATCAAATAATATAATCGAAATCAAAAAAAAGGAAAACAATGAAAACCAAGCAAGTAATATAAGATTCATAACAAAAAACTGAAAAATTAAAAGGATTTAGTGGAGCAAAAAGATATTACTTTCAGTGTGCCACTTTTAAATATCATTATTTTCTCAATTTCACCTTTCATAATATTTAAATTTTGTAATTTATTCAACGCAAATTTGAATTAAATTAAAATTGAATTACCTTATTAAATTTATTTTCGCTACTTTTCGTACGCTTTGGTGTATTTGCACCAGATGAAGCTTGAGCTAAACTACTAGCCATTGAAGTTATCGGCGAACTCATTTGCGGCAAACGCATCTGGTTAATTGAATTTAGCGGATGTGGAGTAGCAGCCGTTATATTACGCATCATACTTGCAGCAGTGAAAGGATTTCCACCTTTCACGGCGGCAGCGGCAGCAGCAGCTGCAGCCGCAGCTGGATTTCCCTTAACAATTAAATTCTTATAATTTTTTCATTAAAACAATATAAATTAATAAGCAGAAAAATTTCAAAAAAAAACCTGCAAAGGTGAACCAGGACCAAATCCAAAATTTCGATACATATCGTAAGTGGGTGATATTTGTGCCGCTTGATGCATCATGAAAGCAGCATAACTTGGCGACATAGCTCGTGCGTCCATCGGTGTAGTAGGCATTCGAGGAAATGGCATTCCATAAGATGGTTGACCCTGATTGTAAAAATTCATATAAAAACATAAAAAAGATGGAAAAATAAGTCGACCGATCCACTTTACTCCCATATTATAACAATGCATAATAATTTAATTACTCATATATAAGACAAAAAGTCTTGAAACACATTTTATTATTAATATCAGTGATTTCTAATCATTCATCCTAAAACTTCAATAGCGACAATAACCATCAATCACAAAAACACGACAACTCATTTCTCAATCAGATTATTTCGTAACCGAATGAGGAATAAGTTAACATAAAAAATTAAACAGAATTTAGTTTATCGTTAAATATTCAACTTATCAACAAAAGATAAATTTTAAACATATTTTATATGCGTAATTCGACAATTTATTCTTTTCTTCGTTTTCTTTATTCTAATTTTTCACAAATATTAATCATCTAAATTACGAAAATCCGAAGATAAGTATTCACTCAATTTCTTGAGATAATTTATAAAGATTTAAAATAATAAATCAAATAAATCCCTCTCAACAATTTTTAATATGATTTTTACTAATCTTTATTTGATTTTACAAATTACTATCAATTTGAGGCAATTAAGAAGGAAGCATACCGGAAGAAAAAAAGGGTAAAACAATGGTAGTGATGAATAAGAAGGCGATAATGTTGCTGATGGAAATGATGGAAATGTTGGCGATGGTTTAACGAATGCACCTTGCTTTGACCCTTAAAAATTTTTAATAAATGAGAAAAATTTTATAATTATGTTTAAAACTATAATATATTTAAATGTTTTATATAATAAATATACATTTAAATATATTATAATATATAAAATATATAAATATAATAATATGAATATATTTTTATTATATTTATATAAATTTACAGTAATCATCATTACATCATAAAATTTATATTTAAATAGATTATCAGATAAATTTTTTTTTCAAGGAAAAAATATAAAATGTAAATTGCAAATAAACAGCGGCGTCAAGTTGGTACGTTCGGAATATCAGATCAGCGAATAGATCTTTCTTCACCTAATAGTCAATAAATTCAGCCAATGTTTGTTAGAAGAAGGATTGCAAAATGACGAAGTTGTTTATTTAAAGAAGTATGAGGGAAGATGTGTCTTATATTTTCATCTCTAAAAGCTAAAATTTACGGAAAAAGTTTTATATCGAAAGAAAAAAGGAAAAAAAGTAATGGAAAGAATGGAAAGATTTTCGACAAAAAATAAAAAAATCATTAACAATACAAATTATAATTGCAAATTTATAAGCGAAAAAAAGAATTTTTCCTTTTTTTCATAAAAAATCCTCATTTTCGTTTTTTTGATAAATAAAATTTTATATTTAAAATTATTATACGATTTTTTTAAAAACTTATTTCTTATATATATCATTTTTTTTAAAAAGAAAAAGAAGAAAAAGAAGAAAAATTAAAAAGAAAAATTTTTAATATTCATCATATATATACATATATTTATATATAAAATATGATCACCGAATAATCAGGAAATTAACATAATCTCTTTTTTGGATTAAAATTAGATCGATAAGAACAAATTTCTGACCCGAAACAATTTTAGCAAAAACTTCAGAAAATCCTAATTTCCTCTTAACAATGGCTTAAGACCAAGCTAAGAGAAAAAATCTCAGACTGCAATAAACACTCTGATTTCATAAAGGTACAATATATATATATATATATATATATAGAATATATAAAAGAAACCAATAATATTTGGAGGATGCGTTTCATATTCAGTTTCCAAAGCAACATCTTTTTTGTCTTCGGTAAGTTGATGCGATGATTGTGCTGTTTCGATATCGTCCGCATCATTCCTGGATTAATCAAAATTTAAATTTTGTTGAAATATTCATCCTTTTTTCCTTAATTCATCATTTTCCACATCTCCCTACCTCCACACTCCCCTTTCCCTTATTTTTCTTACTTTTAAAATAAAAAATCCTTTAATAGCAAGATTACAGCAAGAGGCTCTACTCCCCGCGGAAGTAAACCTGTCCAAAAACCCAGGCGATAGTACTTCTATCGCCAAGAGACTCCCTGGCATATTTGTCCAGTACGACAAACCAACAAAGCGAGTTGACCAGTAACAGTAAGGATTCTTTAAAAAATAGCACGATTATCAAAATAAGACTCAACCGCAAACGGCAGTACCGATATTTGCTCATATTCGCCTGATAATCACTTGGACTATAATGACTCCATGTGACGTATCAAGATTCCGCGCAAACTAAGCACTTTATCGGATCGCGTAATAAATATTTTTATATATATATACATCAGATGATAAGAAAATAATATTAAATAATTTTTCGCTGATAAGAAATTCAACACCTTTTTTAGTGATAATGATTGCGATATCTTTTCAGTGATAAAACTTGTTATTTTATAACAAAAAAAAAATAAAAAAGCAATTTCCTTTTCTTCAGCAAAAATTTGAACTATTTAAGTAAAAAAAATTCGTTACCAGTAAACATAAGAAATATTATTATTTGAACGGAGAAAAAGAAACATTTCAACGAAAAGGTCAAATAAAAATATAAAGGTCAAATTATGAAAGAAGAAAATGTTTCTGCCACATACATTTATTTTTAAATTCTTTCGCAGAAATAAATGAAATTTCAAATGTTATAAAATAAATAAATGAAATACTTTCATGAAATCTTTATTAATAAATTAAAGTTCGACCAACAACACACTTCCACTTCAATTTATCACCAAGTGATAATGATAAAATCCCTGGCAAAAACTTTTGATCAGCCGGTTCAATGGCCAAAGAGTTGAGGCTAAATAGCCGAAAACCCCAAAAACTTTGCGAGCTATTTGCTTCTATTCATTAATAAAATATCGCCAAAATTATTCTTTTTTGGAAACAAATAAAATATTTAAAATAAAATAAGTGAAAATTTACAAAACAAACCTTCGGAAGACTTTCACTTCATCTGCACCATCATCCGTGTTACTTTCACTCATTTATTTATTATTTTATTTATTTATTAGTTATAAATAAAAATTTCCCTCTGCTCGACCGATTATTAGCAGTTCGATTGCATAGAAGTACAAACGGAGGAGAATGACTGGAGGGAGGGAAGGGGGGGGGGGGAAGGTCAAAGATTCGCTTCTGCCCGTTATTTAGTAGTCGAATAATTCGTCGAATAATGATAGAACGTTTATATATCGTTAAGCCGAATAATAATAATAATAATTCTGGTGATAAGAATAGTGATAATAATGATAAGATTTATTCGAAAAAAAATCGATGTCGACCTTTGACCTTTTGTTTAACGTTGTCAACGTTCTCAATTATTATTATAGAATATGAAAAGCCGCACAACATTGAATTACTACTCTTTGGAAATAGAGAAAACCAAATTTTCCTTTAACAAATTTCGTCTCTCTCTCTTTTTTCCTTTTATCTTTTCATCTCTTCCCACTTGTGATATATGCACAACATCTAATATCTCCGCTAGTCTCTTCAATTCAAATGTTCCTTCCACCAATTTCGTGTATCTCTAAACCTCTTCTTTGCCGCTCGCCCTTTTTACATTATTTCTCCAACACTCTGGATTTTTATGTACAGTTTTTTCTCTTTGTCTATATTCACTTAAAATTCGTCTGTCTCTTACTTTTCCTTAGCCGACTACGTCTCTTCGCATTTTCCGGGTTCTAATAATGTTTTACCATCTCGTCGATGCAATAAAGTTTTAATGGTCTAAGCTGCGCTGCATTCTCCCTTCTACAGTATGCAAAGACCTGAACGTCAAATGGTATTATTTAAATTTGAAATAATTATCGGTAAATAAAATACATTTGCGGTGAATGGTTTTATAAAAAAGCAATTATCGCTTCCCCATTGTTTCCAATCAATATTATTGACATGTCGCACAAATGTCCCCTCAAGTTTCCAATAAATATTCGCTTACATTCCATAAAAATGCCCATTCACACGTCACGCAAATGTCCTCACACGTCACAAAAATGACCACTCAGATGCCACGTAAACATATACTCATATGTCACGCAAATGTCCTAACACGTCATAAAAATGACGGCTTACACGTCATATAAATGTCCATTTACATCGCCCAAATGCTCACTTATACGTCGCATAAATATCCACTCATACGTCATTTGGATGCCCTTTACACGTACCACTCATATTTGTTCACTCGAGCGATTAACTACACGCGTGGCACATTCCATGCAAATCGCCAGCATCGGTGCCACTTTGCGTTCTTTGTCTACGGTCTCGTCCCATGCGTTCCCGGTTTCGTCTTGCCCTATCTGTCCACGCATGCGTGCATGCATGCAAACATGCTTCTCTTTTCACTTGGTATTGTTCACTCAATTTTCATCGATTTTTTCTAATTTGCATATCATTTTTTTTTCAATAAATTCTGAAATCAAAAATAATTTCGATGAATTTCCTAAGAAAAATTGCTATCAATTAAAATGAAATGTAATTTTTCAAATTCGTTTCAAACTGAAAAATTTTCAAAAATTTAAATTTAATAGTCCTTGAAATTTTTATTTGAATTATCAATTAACATTTAATTTTTTTTGATATTTTTATATTTGTTATTTTAGATGAAAAAATATAAAAATTAAGAAATTAGCAAAATTTAGGGGAAAATGAGAAAAAACGGTGATGGTAAAAGGATGAAAACTGAGAAGGAGGCGAGGAAAGAGGACCAATGATAAGGAAAGTCGGATACTTAGATTTACAAGCTGACCTGCGGGGAAGCTCCTTCTTCCTCCTTCCTATTTTATTTATTCCTCGTTTTCATCCCTTCTATCCTTCACAGCTTTATCTTTGGCTTTGGCTTTTTTCTCGCCTTAAATTCACATCGAATATCGAATTATTATTAATAAAAATTCATTTATTTTGTCAATAATAAATCATTTATTTATTTTCATCTTCAAATTGAAGTGAAGAAATGAAAAATTTATCTCGTAAAACATCTGTTCTTTAAGAATAATTTTCCAATTAATTTCTGCGTTTTTAAGCGAAAATTTAATATTTTTCAGAAAAAGAAAAATTAAATCAAATTAATTTATAAATTTATTTATTTAAATCAAAAAATATTATTGGTTCATTATTAGGAAGAAAATGGATGTGCTTGAATGGCTCATTGCTTTGAGCCGAAATAGATTGGATTTTCGGCGTAATGAATGAAACAGACTTGTCGCTAAGGCTGAAATCCGAGTGGTACTGGGGAAGTTCCTCTCTTTTGGCGAAGAAGCAAGCCACATAGCCAGTGGTGCCAAACTATGAATGAAAGTTGAGAAGAGAAAGTTTCATGCTTCAGAAATGATAGAAACATTTAAGTAGTCCGTTTTACTAAATGATCTATTGTTGACTTCGATTAAGATTTATTACTTAGTTTAACAATCTTCGATTAGCTCGGATCGATGGTTTTAGTAGTTTTATAAATGAAGAAGGTTTCGTGCCGACAGTTATCGACCGCTGATTTCTTCTTGAGATGTGGAAAATTTTTGGAAAAAAACATCACTGCTTTCATATTTTTTTATATTACATGAATAAAAGCAGTTCACATGCCCAGAATCGCTTCTCATACAAGCGGTTAGTTCGTCAATTCCGCTTAGGTTTGCTCAGTTGGCTCACTTAGGAATTTTAGCCAAGGACTCGCTTGGCAATCATACAACATAATCCGGAAACTATTACTTTTTTAACGACAAATGTTAGTGGGTCGGACCTGAATTCTTACCTCTGCATTTTATTTTAACAGTGAAGTTCCCCTTCTAGTTCTATTTTAAAATGAAAATTTAAGATGGGAACTATTTTATTAATTATTAGAATGACACCCGTTTGCCATATAATCAGCTTAGAGATAAAACTACAGATGGGACCTTAGCACCATATGGATTTAATAGCAAGGTTTCTTCATTCAAGAGGCATATTAGTAAATGTTCACTATTTCTGGTCAGGCTAGTTTCATTCGCTGTTGGCAAGGTTTTCTGCTTGGCAATGGAAATACAGGTGAATCTTCATCCTGATTTTCCATTAAAAACTTCACTTCTGTTGGTAGTACGATCCTAAGAACTCATTCTTAATAGGGCCTTTACTTGACGATATTGGTCCCAATAACTCAGTTATTTCTAAAATAATTCCGAAGGTGATTTTTTTTTAATGCCTTGGTTTTATCTGATTTTTTTTAGATATTTGTACATTTTTATAATTTAATTTTTTTTTCTCCCAAAGATTTTTCTTTTTACAGTTGTTAAATTATTACAATTCTTTGTTTATTGTTATAGAAAATTCAATAAATTATTGTTATATTTAATGATTTTTTAAAATGCAAAATAGTAATAATTAGATTTCTGAAATAATAAAAGGCAGTAAATCTCTCAATGCAAAATGATTATTAGGTCGCTTCAAATAAATAATTATCAAAAATTTTTATCAATAATGAAACTTTCAGATTATTATTTTCTTTCAAATCTGTGGAACCAAATGAATTTTCGCAACAACTGAGCCATTTCAGTAGAACATAAGCATTTGCATTCAAATTACTTTCTTCTTTGTTTTCATTAATTGGTTGTAATTTGAATAAATATTTATTATAATTTTGAAATAATCAAAAATTATCCAATTTTTGCATTTTTTAAATTTATTCTTTATTGTTTCAAATATCAAATTGCAATTCGCAAAAAAAGAAAGAAGAAAAAGAAAAAAAGAAATATCCAATTGATTTAAGGGGCTTTCCTAGATGATGTAAATAAATGTGCCGAGGCAATAGGCTTCAAAATAAAAATGCGGAGGTAAGGACACTCTTGTAATTCTATAGCCAAGCGAAGAGGGAATCTCATCACACAGCCAAGAGAGCGAGCTGAATCGGAAACGATGTACGGTAAACGGTGCGTTTATCTTTGAGAAAGAAAACTTTATTGCTTTGAGTCAAATTTCCCGAATAAAAAAATTTTAAAATAACTTTATGAGATAAAAGATAAGATTTTAATTCAAAATTTGACTGATAAATGTGATAAGAAAATCATTGCTAACGGCTTATTCGTTTATTTGAAGGAAGCAATGATTTTACGATGATTTTTGAAATTATTCAATTAATCTAAATTTTGAAAAAATTTAATTTAAAATTTTATGGAAATTGTGGAAAATTTTTAAAAATCAAAATCAGCGATTGAACCGGTTTAATAAACCGATGGAATGACTTTCAATAAATGTCAAACATCGCAATTTTAATTTAAGTTAATTGTCGTTCCATGACTGACTACTGATTAATGAAGGTCAACATGTGCCACCCAAGAATACATAATTCATTCATTTGCTTTCATTTCTATTGTTTCATTCGTTTTACGGCAAAAAGTGTTCAAATCAATTTATTATATAACGAAATATGAAAATGTAAAATATCGTATGAGTTATGTGATTGTCTATCGCGTTTTTTGCCAGATTTAAGGGAAGTACCACGCGTAGAGCCGATTGCTGCAGTCCACTGGCGCATCGTTTTCTAAAGCAATACTCCAGGACTTATACTCCTTAGGAATGAAATAAGCCGTTTGGCGATAACCACGCTGGGCAGAACGCAGTAGTCACTTCCTTAGTTAACTCTTCTTTGTTATAAATTTTTAGATCTGAAATCGGTTTTAATTTGAAATTTTATATTTTATTTGTAGCGTTTCCCGCTCATTTTCATAGCGACCCGTTGCAAATTCTTTATGCGACATGAAAAACAATGGGAGCGGTCGGATTCTGAGAAATTTTCGTCGGCCGTGGACCATTTTTCTCTCACCGCACACCTCAAATTGCTAGTTCATGACCGATGAGCAATACGCATTAATATAACGATTGTGGCGACCTGAGGATGGCTTACTGAAATTGAATTAGTGGTGGGTTAAAGGTCGAAATGAGCGTTTTTCGTGGTAATGCATTGGTTGGGCCAAAGCGGCAATCTACTTTTGCGAAATTTTCTCAGCTCAACTGCAAATGTAAATTTTTAATGAACAGTACGCTGAGTCATTTTCTACAGTGAAGCCACAAGACGGGGGTCACGAATGCGGTACTTTATGGGATGGAAAAGGGGTCCAAACCCCTTCCTCTTCTCATTTGAAGCCTTGAACACTTTATGAATGCTTTAAATTCGCTGAACTAAATTTCTAACGAAGCGTTCAAAAAACGATTTTTTCAGAACGAGTTTATCCTCTTCGAATTCTTATAAAATTTTGAATTTTTGTGCAATCATCCTCGAAACAAAGGGACATCTGAGGTATGTTTTGCAAATTATCCGATTCAATTTGACCTATATTATTTATCGACTTTAGTTTGGAAGAGAAAAGGGAAAAATTTTTTCGAATTGGAAAGCAATTTTTAAATATCAAATGATAGCCACTTTTTCAATGTTTTTCATGCAGTTATTATTTCTCGAAGGAATAGCTTATTGGTGATTTCGCTTCAATAAATTCTGTTTCATGCGAATTTGAAAGCAAACTCTCCAAGTGATTCTCGGCTCCAAATGGCCAAGCAAAGCAGGAATGTTGCGAACAATGGTGCTCAAAAGAGGAAGAAAAATAGATAAGAAATGGTTGCGCATGAATCAAAGCACTATCACGACTTTTGGCTACTTATAATAAAACTCATAAAAATGATTTTAACATATAAAAATGAGGAGAGAAAAAAAAGACCGCCTTTTGTTTTGCAAAGATCCCATAAGCTTCAATGTTACTAATTGAATGGGATAAAAGGGACCGTCGAAATAATGAGCGTTTGTTAATTGGTCAACTCTTCGCTTTCACAGTAATTGATAATTAATTTATTCATCCAAATCAACTATTCAAATAGGGTTTACTGGCAGAAGCAAAAAAAATATTAAAAATATTTTTAAAAACATTTTTCACTGTCTGAGAATCTAAGTTATATTTCAATCCTAGTTTTATCGCCTCTAACTGCTCGACCCTATCACATATTTCTTTCTTATCATGCAATAAAATTAATCATTCATCCATGCTTGACATGCCAATAAACTGGATTTCTTCAGAATTTTTGCTGTATTTTTCCCTTTTTTTACATTTCCAATTTGTTCATATTCCCAGTTTGAATGCACTCGGAATTTATCATTCCGCCTTGTCAATATGCTAGATCCTTGTATTTAGTTTTCATTTTGCTGGATCCTTGCTTCTTGCTAAAATTTGCTCACACTACGAGTTTATTTGCATCTTATACGCTTTAATTATTTGATTACAATCAACTATCTATTCATCCGATAGTAAAAATTTATTTTTTCCACCATTCGCTGTCGTCCGTCTATCGTAATTTATCTATGTTACACATCTGTTCACTTAATTATTCCTTATAAATTGTTTTAAAAGATTTTGAAGTCATATTAATACATTTTGTAAAATTATATTCTTCTTGGTACCTTTTTTTGGTTCGGCTGGACGCATTGTGCTCATAGCGAGCTGAAATCGCCTCGTTAGAGATCATTTGGGAATAGAAGAATAGATTAATTTGCATTCCCCACTCCTGATTCCACTTTTAATAGTAGTTTATTCCATCAAAGAGAGAAAACCAAGCATACATTATTTGATTTTAGCCGCTTATCCTCTAAATTTGCTTGAAGAAAGATAATTATTTGAAAAAAATTGGTTCATACAAAAAATATTATATTATTCAATGCGATGATGCGATGTGAATTGTCGACAGTAATTAAATTAAAAATTGTTTAACAAGTGTATTAAAATTAAGTTTATTAAAATGCTCGATTTGCTTTTTAAAATAAAAATATGATTGGTCTGATTTTGCAATTTTGAGCCTATGAATGGATTTCAATAGAGTTTTCAAGCCCCACAATAATTATATTATTAACTTATTCAAAAAACTATAAAGATCAAGCAAATTTGCTTAATATATTTATGTGGGCGATTTAAAGATTCGCATTATTCATGAAAAATTGAGTGACTTCGCTCGTTCGAGAATCCATCGCAGCTTTCATAAAGAAATGGATCTTAGCTTTTACGAGGCTCTTTTACGTGATCTATAAAATAAGACCCGTGAAAAAAAACAGATTTTGGAGCCAATTTTCTTAATTTTTATTTTTTATTTTATTCTTTATTCTTTATTTTTTACTGAATAAATTAACAGTGAATTAATGAGTGAAATAAAAAAATAAAGAATTGACAATAAATATTTTGCAAAATATTGTATTGCCGAAGGGTAATTTTGCAAATTTCCCTATTGTTGGCCCATTTTTTCTCGTACGATGGCGGTACCAACACCTATTAATGAAATTCGTGAATAATCCGCTCGATAATCTGAAAATGTTGAAAGAAGCATAAGAATAAATTTTATTTCCACATTCCATGTTTTTTTTTTTTTAAATTGATAGATGTGCGATTTTTTTTTTATGACTTTTTGAACCTCTTTGAAAAATTTTAACCTTATCGATAAGGCCATTTACTATTAAAAATTCCACACTTCATAATGTTACAAAGGTGAGAAGAATAATATTCAAAGGGACTTACAATCGTCTTATTTTTAAGATCCCACAATTTCTATTCCAGAATTGTTGTAAAGAAGGTAACCAAGAAACGAAGTTTATAGAACGAATGCTATTTCGTCATTTCCCTTTGGCTCTACTCATGAAATAAGAAGTTCTGTGGAATTTATATCGCATAAAAAGCAAAGATAAATTTAATTATCATAAAAATTTGCGATAATTGCAGTAAATATGGAAAAAACCTCAGTTAATAAGTAAATCGCCCAAAGAATAATAATCAAGTAAAATAATAATAATTTTAAACGCAATACTAATATTGAGAAAAATATGATATGTTATCTTATTTGGAAAACTTATTTTTTCTGCTAAAATAAGCAGAAAAATTAAATTAAGAAAAATGGATATTTAAGAATTTCGGCATAAATCCTCAAAAAATTGGCTCATCATTATCACCACAAATCTTCACAAAATATTTTCTCTGGTTTTCCTTTTATTTATTATTAGCGTATTTCTTAAAAAAAATGAAAAAATATGTTATATTTAATTTCGCCTTAATGTCACTTAGAAAATAAAGCCTATTAAATTTGTTTTTTCGTTTAATACGAATAAAATCCATTTACAACATTTCGCTTGCAAATGAATGATAACAGTAATCACCACTTAATTCTTTAAATATAAACCTATTAAGAGATAATTTCGAGGGAAAAATTTAGAATTTATGCACAATCCTATGTCTAGCAAATATGGGATTTGCAGTGCTATTTTCTTTTTAAAAATTTACTTATTTATGCATTTAGGCGAGAAAAAAATGCGACAATGTATTGTTTATTATTCAACTTTTCCATCCAATTTTATAAATTTCATTAATTTTCCAATTCGAATGAATTGTCTTGAAAAATTGGCTATTGAATACGAAACAACAAACAAAAAATTTCAAAATTTAAGCATTTAATTTTTCTGTCGTAAGAATTTATAATTTTAAGAAAATTATTTACTTTAACTGGTTAACCTTTATTCATTTTTTTCAATTTCTTTATTGGTCCTTAGTCTGTAATTTCTGGTATTACTGGTATTCGTCATAATAGTTTCCACGCACCCTGTGGGATTCATGACACAGCCAGTGCCTAATTTAAGCCCCAATTCGAATTATTCTTATTTTGTTATGTTTGAATTGCGCCAACTAATTTCTTATTACTTTATATAGTTTTTCCATGTATTCAAAGCTCTTGGTTAGGAAAGAAAGAAATGCCTCAAAATACCTTAAAACTTGAAAATCTTACATTGGCGTCCATGGATCCAAATTATAGCATCATGTAGGATTCATGGAAACGAAAATTTGGCGAGCACTTAAAATTGTTTCGACAAAAAATTCAGATTCCGTTAAGATTCTCTTTTCTGATTCCGATAAAATTCTAAATATAAAAATTTCAAGTCAAAAATTCAATATAGTGCAGTAGAATGCATTCGTTAATACGCCAACACCTTCAGCACTATCTTTTCTCATACAAAGAATCACGGCACGATATCGAAGTAAGTCATTCATTGATTGATAATTCTCGGTTTTTTGGATAATTGATATTCATATGATGAGATTATTTCATCTCTGTGCAATGCTATTGTGATAAAATCCTAAAAGAATTAGCAAATGATTTTCCAAAGTTACGGAAGAAATTTTTTAGATCCATGGTGCCTGTGGTACCGTTGAATTATTTTTCTTAAATGTGAACCCAAATTTTCATCAATTTTTCCTAAAAAAAATTTAATAATAGGTAATAAGTAAAGTAATAAGCGTAATTTCTAGGACCCTTTATCTTATTCGAATAATACGAAATTAAATAATCAAATTCGTACTCGACAACATGAAGAACAAGCAGTTCAACAGCTTCAAAATGCTAAAGTCTTGAGCATTTTCTTTTATTTTGTTCTCTAAACAAAGGTTATTTATAAGGTCCAGATTTATAGCATATTGCCTATTTCCTTATAACTTACTTCGTATAACTCTAGCAATTGTACCACAGCACCCATTTCCAGCTATCTGCCTTCACAACTGATACTTTTAAACTGATACAGTGACTACAGAGCTACTTAAGGATACTTAAGGATAGAAATCCTCGTGGATCCCTACATATCTCATATCTCTGTTACATCCCTATATGTAGATGAGGTGCTTGTGACTGTGATTCTTTAATTTACTTAGGAGGCAGTATATTGTTCCTTTTGTTTCTTTGTCATAAAACAATCATTAGCTTTTGGCAGCCACTGATAAACTAGCTTATCGTTAATCATCATTATAATTTCTAAAATACGTATTTTTGTTCATCGTTGTTGTTTTTTTTTTCTGTAGCATCACCATTTCTGGTTCGATTTGCACTTCTCGGGCCAGGTAAATTTAATGGGGGAACCAATTCGCTTATCTATAGATGAATTGCCAACATTCTTTTTTTTAAGACAGATTTGCTCCTAAAAATAAAATCGCACCAGGGGTCATCCAAAATTAAAAAACAACTCACTGAGCCATTCTATTCCAACCTTTGTTAATTAAATGAACCTAGTAAAAATTATGATAAATACTGCAGCGAAAATGGTTTATTTAAAGAAAACTTGGCAAATATTAACAATAATTTAGCATAAGCCGGTGGCGTTTGCAATTCGCACAAATATTGCATATGATGGCCAACTTGACGAGGATTCACCAATGAAAGGTACCGTAATTTCGTTTGAAGTTCGGGCGTTTCTTCATATAAACGAGGTTGATAAGTTTCTTAGATATTATAAAATTAAGTTAAACAATATAAAAAACTAAATTTATAAATTGATATATTTAGTTTTGAAAATGAAAGTTTATCTTCTGAAATCATTAAAGTTTTTTTGCAAATCCAATTTACTTCGTTTAAAATCATACGCTCTTCCTTTTTTCTCGGAGAACGAATGGTAACAAAACATAACTTATTACTTATTAGAAGTTAAGTTAACTTATTAGAAGTTTAATAATGATTGGTGGATTGGTCGTTTGGTGAAAGATGGTTCCGAAATCGGTTTCGTACCAAGCCCAGCAAAATTAGAAAGTGCTCAAGAACAACGATGCAGAAAGATTTTGTAAATCTATGATAAATCTTTATTTATTTTCATTTCATTTGATTCAGAAACATCGGAGTTAATAAATCCCTTCTTAAGCTAACAAATTTTCAAAATAAATGAAAAATTGGAAACAATAAATTAAAATTTTATTATGACAAAAATATTCATGAAATTTCTTCGAAATACCTTTTGTTTGAAGAAGTAATATAATTTATACATTTAGCAAAACAGCAAAGATAAAAGAACTATTTCATCCAAGGGCAATTACCGCACCATACGATATTGTACCGATTATGCGGCCACTTTGCTTGATTGGTCCTTCATTAAAAGGTTTCCAGGTCACCGATATGATGCAAAAAGCAATCTTCGATTTTCTAAAAGTTTTTTTTGACGCATAAATTGATTCCTTAAAAAATCTATTCGAAATACAGATTGTCACCAAAATTAGTGCATAAATCAAATATTATGGCATTCATTTTGTTGAGTTTATTTCGCTGGCTTAATGAAAAATTAATGTCTATTGATTATCATGAATTAAGCGAAAATCTTATCGTTCTTTGTCGCAAATATTCACCTATGGTGCCTTCGGAATATTTCTGCGTAGATCCGCTCATAGATACCAATAGTTCGTGAATTTCCATCTGTTTTCTATATTAATTTTATATTAATTTAGCCAGAAATCAAAAAAACTCTTATAATTATAAAATGAAAAAAGAATTATAACTATAAAATGAAAAAGAATTATAATCAACTTCAAGTCGAAAAAGAGGAACTGAATTAAATTCGAAGACCATGGAGATTTATCATGAAATTCAATTAAATTTTTATATTCTAATCAAGCCTCAGTCTTTCTTCTAACATTGTTATGCGATGAATTCAATTGCAGCAAAGATTTTGTGGACGAATAACGATAACTCGGGTTAATGCAGATATTAGTTTGGCCAGAAGCCCTAGCAGGAGTTCTAACAAAGGAGACATTGAATTTACAAAAGGTTTGCACTTCTGCATTTTGGATCTTATGTATTGGATCTTATTTAAAAAAATAGCTTCTTTGTTGATAACGAATTCTATTAACTGAATTTCGCAAAACCAAAAGAGCAACTAGAGCTCTGTTTTTTCCTGGAAACTATTCCTGAAAATGTTTCTCACTATTGATCAGGCAATTATTAATAAATTTTAATTCTCATAGAATTTTTTCTGTTATAATTGCTTTTAGTTACGGATGATGTGCAACTCGAAATTGATCGAATTTTTGAACTGGGACGTCGCATGCAAATTGTTGTCATTGACTGTGACCTTATCAATTATCCAATGCAACTTTCAAATTCTATCCTTGCGCCACTTATTGTTTTTGTACGCATTTCTAATGCCAAGGTTAGGGAGAAATTTTAAAGAGATTTTGGTTTCGATTGATTTTTTGGTGCCTTTCCAGGTTCTCCATGAATTGATAAAATCTCGCGGCAAAACTCAAATGCGTTTCTTGAAATTGCAACTATCTGCCATGGAGAAATTAGTTAGTTGTCCTGATAGTCAGTATGACTTGATTATCGATGAAAATCGAATTGATAAGGCTTGCGAACAATTAGCGAATTTTCTTGAAATTTATTGGAGAGCAACTCATCCAATTGATGAAAAATCCGATAGTAATAAAAATTGAATGAATAAAAGTAGCCGAATTTTCCACTCTAAAAATGCACAACAAATCATTTAGATTATTTATTAATAGATTATTTATCAACCATTCCAACAGAATCGCTTAGAAGCGGGTGTTTCTCATGAAATCTATTTGTTTGCTTCGATCATACTTATCCTTAGTGCAATTAGCCAAAATTCGTCAAATTCGACAAGTTAAAAATCTTCCATATTTTTGTAATATTATACAATTATTATTATTTATTTAAGTATGTTAATGTTTGCAATAACACAAAATAATGCAGTTTTGTCGCAATAAAAAGTGATTTGATCGGCAAAAAAAAATTGCCATTTGTAAATATTCTTAAATTTTTGATGAATGATTAGAAAGAAGTGCATTTCAATAAATTTCGATAAAAGCCTAATCACTGATAAATTAGTTATAAATTTCCTTTTAAAAAAATGAAATTTTTTTAAAAGAAAATCCATCAAAGAAAAAAAATGAAAATTAGCCTTATGCAATTTCGTTTTTCAAATTCTATTTTTCATTTCATATTTATTATTTCTTAAATTTATGTAAAAAATTAATTATATTAAATAAAAAATATTTTAAATAGGACATTAAAATTCATTTAAAGAAAATTCATCTACTGAAAGATTGTTTAAAGTGGAAAGAAGTGGGAGAAAAAACTAATTCTCACGTCCATATGGTTAGTTTTGTTGTCATTTATTTCGTTCGGAGCAATTTTCTCGTTTCTTTTACACGACGACATTAACAATCAAATAGGGATTTTGGGGATTTTTCGAAATAAATTAAAGAAAAGTAAAAAGAAAAAATTTTAAATATCGCAAATCCATAATTGTTGTTAAATAACAATCATGGACAATAATCGGATGAATAATCCTTTCGTTGAGGAGTTCCACTGTTCCACTCATTTCTGTGATCCTACGAGGCGACGAACGCCTTTAATACTTATTTTCCAACGACGAAAATTTTTTTAAGAAAACAAAAATAAAACATAATTTTCTTAATTTTTTTATTCCGCTTTATATGCACTCTGTAGTATTTTTCGCGTAGATAAAAGTTATCATTTTAAAGTAGAATTACGATAAGAAATTCAGACGATTAAGGAAAATTATCAACAAACAATGATCCTAAAAAGATAAAAGTACAGCGACAAACGGCTAATAATCAAGGCAATATTAACAAAACAAAAGTAGTGCAAGTAGTAATATATGGCTTAAAATATATCCGATCTAAGCCATTTACCCCCCAATGAATCGCTTCATATGCTTTAATCATCTATGTTTCAATGAAAATACAATAGTAAAATGAAAATATTACTATTTTAGTAATAATGAAAAAAAAGCCATTTTTAATTAGGTTTTTAAGAATTATTTTTATTAAATACAAACAATAAAAATAATATTAATATAAACCATAAAAAATTTGATTTACTGGTTTAGAGAATTATTTTCATTCAAATAAAACAAAAAAAATGTTTGTTAATATCAATTTATCATTTAATAAATTATTTTTTAGCTTTCGAAATTTTTATTTAGAAATTAATAAATATTCAAAAGCTTTCGTTTCGTGCATACTGTATAGTCTTTTAATGAAAATTTAAACCGAACTATTCACATACGATTTCAAACCTTTCAACATAGCTAATTTATTACGAAAAAAATTTTATCAGAGTTACTTGGGAATGGAAATATTGGTGGATCGACAGCACCAAGCAGATTTTTCAATGATAAAATTAAAGATTTATAATAAAAGAAATATCAGCATGCGATGAACTGATAGCCCAAATCACATATAATGATTCCGACTTAATTTGTTTCATTTTACCAACCACAAAAAATTACTTAAAGGTTGAGTTCTGCGTTAAACTTAAGCAAAATCATATGGGGTTCAATTCCTTTCGAAAATGCCCTGCTGATTCAATGAATTGTTCTATGAAGACTTCGCAAAAACGTCTCAGTCACCGCTCACCACAAATCAATTTTCGCTAATTTCAGATTTAATTTACTCTGTTTTACGAGAATATTTGTTGTGGTACAAAGGTGAATAAGCACGAAAATCATTAGAGCAATATTGAAGTTTTCTAGGTCAAAATCAAATTAACTAATAACAAATTAAATAATTACTTTATTTTCAATTCAGATAAGAGATCCTACTAGACAGTGGCAACGAAGCATAAGAGCTCCAATTCAACGGTCTGGAAACTGTGCACAATCTTTACTCGCGTTTTACCAGACCTATAATATATTTGCATTTTTTCTAATAGGGTGCATCACTTCCGGTTTGGTTAACTGAGCTAACCGTTTTGATAAAACCACATTGCTGAAGATCCATTTGGATATATATAAGTAGAGAGAGTAGATGGAACGACAACGGGGCACTTTTAATAAAACCATCAAGAGGTATTAATCAAACCAATTTTGCTGACTCCTACTAGTAATTTATATAATTGTTTATCGATGTCGATGTCGATCATATTTCCATCTCCATTTTATCCTTCTTTTACCTATCCTAAGGATACATTTGCACCATAATTTATATAATCCTCATTAAAAAGTTTTGTGCACGACATATTTCACCACAAATGACGTAAATTGACGAATTTCTGGAATATTGAGAGAAAGCAGTCATGCATATTTCTTACACTGGATCGATAACGACACTCAACGGAAAATGCTTCCTGCGCTCGGTTGGATATGGCTTATCGGCCTCATTGAGGCTAATGAAATAACCGATTTTCGTATTCCAGGAGCTGAACCCGTTCTGGTAAGCAAATATTTTGCAGTGATGCGCATATTATTTGTAAAATACTAAATTTTATTCAAGAAAAATCGGTTTCGAAGAAATCCATTTTCTAATCACCTTCTAATCAATTATCCAGCAGCGTTAACGCAAAAAATAAGAATCACGGAACAATTTGAACTGTTGCAGGAAATCACGAAAGATGAATTCACATGAACCCACATAAAACTACTTTCTTCTCCCTTTAACAATATGCATTGTTTTTAATTGGAATCATTCTTCGAGCAATTAAGACGAGACCTAAAGGATAGTTTAGATGGAAAAACAGGATTTACTTTTAATGACAGGCTTTCTTCCAACGGTCTTATTCATGCTCATCCTATGTCATCTTATAACATCTTATAACAGTGTACCATTCATCATACCTACTCTAGAACTGGTTCTGCCTTTTAGTTCTGCTGATTATTACGAAATTTTTAGCAGGAAGTCACTCGGTGACATATCGCCGGGGTTTTCTACTCACATGCTTACTCCAGTTGAAGTTAAAAACCGCTTGTCTCCCAGCCTTAATCTGAATTGTTATATCCACTCAGCTGTCTTGCCTTTTAGTTTAAAAGGATCTTAATATTATATTTAAAGTATTTGTACTTCCTTAGTGCGATATTCAGAAAGTTAGCCTCTTTTCTTTAATATATAATAATTTAATAATATTTTTAATAGTATCCTCTCGCGCAAATTCAAGTATATAACTCTTTAGTTTCATGTTTTCCAAGCCAATTCAAAATCAATAAAATAATTTTATTTTGTTTTAATTGACTTAAAACAGCCAAAAATCCGTCTTTAATGGAATCTCTAGGATTTCATTTCTAAATTTATCTAATAAATTTTTGCCTTTAAGGATGATTCTTATTTATGCACTGCGATGCCATTAGACGTAACTACAGAGCATTATTTGCGTAAGTTTTATTCATCGCATTTTTTCCAAATTGTTTATATCCTATAAATGATGGATTTCCATTTCCAACACTGCAAATTCTAGCTAAAATAAATAAAGATGGTCATTAATTTTTTAATATTTTGCTATTTGGGATGAGGCAATTAGTATTGTTGTTATCCATTGTAAATGACTGTTTGAATTTTTGCGAATATAATCAGAATTTTTCATTAATTTTATTAAATGAAGATTAATCAAATTCCGTAATTTATCACCTATTATTTTCTGATTGGATTGATCATAGCCAACTGAAATTTAGATATTTGCTACGCAATCAGATTTGGTAAATTACTAGAATCCTCCCGGTTCTTGGATTTTTGGTAAATTAGGCTAATGGCGATGAAAATTCTGATTTCAGTGAGCTTCAAGCCATATGCATCAATGAATAAAGCACATCATATGCTATTATTTGGATGTGATGAACCAGGAAGTGACGAACTAATATGGTAATTTTAGCAATTTTAGCTCTACTGTCGTTTTATGAGAATTTGAGAGGTTCAATGAAAAAATATATTCAAGTAAATTGGCAAAAATGATATGTGCTAACAACGATATATCCTACGCATTTCATTAAAAACCTTTCGATGCATTTTTGATATAAATTAACAATTCATTCATTTTTCAAGAAATTTTTTCTCAAGAAATTAAAAATGTTTCCAATTTGTGAAAATTGAGGCAGATTAAAATAGATTTGACGAAAAAAAACAACGGCAAATTTCAAGGGATTGTGGCGAAATGACAAAAGCAGGTCCGAATTTTGAGCGGCAACCATCATGCAAAGGTCGACCGAATATTTTATATGCATGGGGACGTGATGCTCCTAAATTGACTTTGCCCCAAGGTTTAATCACTTCTTTTTTCGCTTAAAATGGACAAAAATTAATTTCGTGTTTCAATTTTCAGCATTTCGATTTCATGGATCGCATTTAACATGAATATTCATTTTTTAATTGTGAATTTTTAGAAACTATAGACGAAATAATACAGTGCAAAATAATGCAATTAATGGTTCCAAAAATGTTTCGTAAAATATTTTCGTTATAATTTAGAATTTTGAACTAAATCGTAATTAATATATTCATTGATACTTGGAAGTACCATTTGCGCTTTTTCTAACAGAATTAACTTCTGTTAATTAACTCCGTTAAATTGATAATTGACATAATAATGTTTTATTTTTAATAAATTTGCTGCTGTTGAGAGATAAGAAACGGACTTCTTCGTTCATTGCACATTTTAAATCTTTTATTGATGATTTTCAAACAATTTATATTTTTGCTTATATATATATTTATATATATATATATATAAATATTTCTCGTTGATAGCATTTATAGCATTTAATCAAATAAATTTAAAAAATTTGGCAGTTGCTTTTGAATATTTTTACTAATTAGCTTTCCATGAAGCATCGATAAGCCATACAAAAAATTGCCATTAGAGATGAATTCAAATGAATGCAGTGAAAGGACATTGGGCATTATTTTCCACAAGAGTTTATAAATTAGAAATGTTCAGGAGTTGGCTTTAAAGTCGGAGGCGACACCGATATCAAGTACCTCGTCCTTCAAGTTCATTATATGAAGAAAATTGAAACGGATTATTCTGGAGTGGCTATCGAATCCACTATTGAACCAGTGGAAAAAGTTGCAAATACGTTATTAATGGTCACTGGAGGAATATTGCCACCTAAGCAGCAAGGTAAAATTTATACTATAATTAAAATTTATACAATAATTATTTTGAAGTCGCAATGATTTATCTAAAATTTTTATGCTCATTTATTTGTTTTTCGCCGATTAACATACACCATTTTTGGTTCCATTTGAGCTCCATTGCTGCATAGAGGAAAATTTAGGTGACTCTTTAGCCAGAGAGTTACTTAAGGATTAAGGCATTGGTTTTCACGTGTATTTTACGTCTTTTAAGGTGTATAATATTGCATCAATAAAATGAATGTAATCTTTGATTAAACGCTTCTTTGAGTTTATAAATTTTCAGAAACGTTCGAGACGGCTTGTATCATTGATGAGGATGTTGAACTTCACCCATTTGCTTTTCGAACTCATGCCCATCGTCATGGAGTAAAGGTAATCAGTTATAATCTTGATTTTTATTTTTTTAGTCTTAATATCCAGGTTAGCTATTTTTCCAACAGCTGGCAAAGAGAAGGAAATGAAAAAATGTCCATGTCTACGAATCAAAAATCTTTTGTTATCAAAACTTTTAGTTAATACTGAAAAATTTGGTGAAAGGGCAATCAAGAATTGGTAATGAAGTATATTCTGCATTTTTTTTTAATTAAAAAATGAAATCAACCCATAGCGTTGCTGATATTCAATTTCCTATCACTAAGACTATTGCTCTTTTTCGATTTGATTCGATTTCTTATCACCAAGGTTTTTGCTTTCTGTCTTATCATTGTGCTTTTCATTTTTTGCCACATTTTCCGATTTTTTATCATTCCAATTTCGACTCTTTTTCATTTCTTTTCATAGGACTTCTTAAAATCTTTTTCATGCGAATTTTAAAGAGTTCTTTGAAAAAATTAGGTTACATGAGCAAAGTTTGTGATGCACATTTAATGTTTTTTTAATAATTTAAAATTGTTTCGCGAAAGTAACGATTTTATTTTAAAGATTAGCGGTTGGATTGTGCATGAAGACGAAGAAGGAAAGGATAAATGGGAACTGATCGGTGAACGCGACCCATTATTACCTCAAAATTTCCAACCTGTCAACAACACTAATTTGGTCATTCGACAAGGAGATATAGTAAAACATTTAGATTTTTATTAAAACTTATAAGAATATTCAGAAACTCAGCGAATTTATAAAAAATAGCAAAACATCGCAAACTTTTGAAACAAACCAACGCCATTTTGTTCATTCTAAATTGTTTTAGGTTGCTGCCAGATGTGTTATGAATAACAAAGAAAACAAAGCTTTTATGATGGGAAATACCGGTGAAGATGAAATGTGTAATTATTATTTAATGTACTGGGTTTACGGCGACAACAGCCTCAAGTAAGTTCCTTAACCTATTCGCCACTGCAGAATAGCGATAAAGTGCAATAACAGCACTGGAATATTTACATATTATGAAAATTTTAGCGGCAAAACGATGAACACTATTTTGGTTAATTACTTACATGCATGATTTAGAGGAAAATTAAATTTCCGCCAAAAGATTGCGGAACTTTTCTCCATCTAAACCACAGATATCCTAAATATCTGCTGATCACAAAAAGTGTTTCCATTAATTGGCACTACTGAAACCACGGCAAACTAGATGAGATTCTATGATCTATGTTTTTATAATATCATCGCAGATAGCGCTTTATTTATTATTTTCAAATTAAAATCAATAATTTAAAATGCATTTGTAATTAAATGAATTTGGAAAAGATATAATATTATAATATAATATGGACAATATAATATGGACAAAATATTATGAAAGCAATATCAATAATTTTTATTTATGGTTTAATGCCTATTTTTTTAAAAAAAGAAAAATTTAGGGACAATGTCTGCTATTCGCCAGGTGCACCTGAATATCGTTTCTCCACTAATGCAGGTCTTAATCACATTCCAAAAATTTAATAAATAAGAATGTATATTGCTTAAAAATAAAAATTAACTCGTATTAAATCTATTTTAAATCGCAAAAAAATCCAATAAGTCAATCTCCACTGATAGATAAATCACGTATATAAATTGCATTGCACAAATTAAATAACACTGGTGGGCAAAAATACAACTTTTAAAGGGACACAAATTGTAACAAAAGAATAATCACATAAATTAAATTTTTAACCAGCGAATAGCCAGCTAACATGAATTGAATATGAATATTTGATTGATACTTAAAAATAATCGGAAAAACTCGATTTTGTGTTGATTAGAACTGATGGTTGCAATCGTTATAAAATTCTTTAATGACTGGAGAAAATAACATACTAGATAACATAAAGTTCTCATTCGCCTTGAATTTCATTGACAATGATTTCTAATGCTTCTTCGACATTACCATTGGTTTGCGATAAGATCCGCAGATTCCGCTCGGTATCTGTGAAACCGAAATCAACAAGCATTTGGTTTTGATCTGCATAAAGCTCTGCAGCATCGATGATCTGCTGTGCTTCGCGAAAAATGTTAGGTAAATTCCACGTTACCTGATGCCCAGAAGTATTCATAACATATCCATAACTTCGTAACAAATCATAATAAGTACTTTCCTAAATAGTAAATAATAAAAATGAAAAAAAAAATGAAAAAAAAGTGATTTAGTTCCAAAATCAGTGAATTATTTTAAAAAATAATTTGGGAAAAATAATCACCTGCGACCTACGCCATCTTAATTATTTCAGAAGAACCATCGTTTCATGAGAAAAAATGTAGGTAAGCATAAAATTAGATAAAAAAAGAATTTAAACTCATATATATATACATTGAAAAAAAAACCTCTTGAAAAGCATCTGAAGAAACTGGGAATGTATCGACGAAACTAACAGCCGAGCTGTCAATTTTTAAAGATTCGTTTATGAACAAAAAGAAAAGTATATAATGCACAGCGTCCACCAAAAGCTATAAAAAAGTATTTTAAGATTCTATAAAAATATTGATAAAACATGAGAATAAATGTTCTGAAAATGGAATAAAAAAACCATATAAAAATATTTTGTTAAATAAATCGAAACAAACCGATACAGACAAACTAAACTATTCAAAAGTAATAGATAACTAAAATAGAAATAGAAAGAATTTCCAGTGTCTAAATACTTGATATTTACCAATAATTCGTATTTCAAATATGCAAAATAAAAAGGTCTAAAAAAATACCGGATGTTCAATGAAAAAATCGTCATTTATTTCATTGGAAAAGTAACAAAGAGTAAGAACTAAATCGGTAGCGATAATCAAAGCGACTGGATCTGTCCTTATAGACGGAAATTTATTAATGATTATTTCTTGCAAATTACTTTTGTTATATACTTGCATTGACTGAAAAAAATTTTATTTTGTTAATTTTAGCAAAATTTAACAAAATTTATCTCAAACAATTCGCAATTTAATAGTAAATGGTCCCTTGAATTAATTTAAAAAGCAAACAGCAATAAAAATATTTTTCTTCAGATAATTCAAATAAAACTTAAAGGTTAGCAGGTTAAAGAATAAAATAAAATTTTGATAAAATAAAGCCTTACAGCCACTCGAACATCAGACCAGCTCCAAACCGCGAGCTGTGCGAGTTCATTACGACAAGCTTTGAGTTTTCTCAAGTTTAATTCAGCTTTTTTTTCAGGAAAACTAGAAATCACCAAGTGTACAGTATAGCCGGCTTTTAGATCTTTCACTTCATTAAGAAACATCTCTTCGGGTAAGCGATTTCCCAAGAAAATTAGTCCTAAATTTTCATTTGTTATTTATTTCACAACCTGGAAAAAATACTAAAATTCCACAAGAATTTTGAATTTCCCTTTGTGCTAAGGATAAAAAAAAAAGCTAAATAACCGAAATCAACAACAGTAAAACTTTTAGAAAGCAGATTTTTCACAAAATCATGCGTCGACTACTTCTGCACAGCTGAATTGTCTAAGGTAGCAAGGTTATACTTTTTTTTTTATAAGGAGGAAGACAAATCAAGACATGGATAAATACGAGATAGGAAATTTTGAACACAAGAAATCTAGTGGTATACGAGCTTAAAAAGTTGAAAAATGAGTGAGATATTAAATGATAAATGATACATGGGATCAAAAGATTCGGATATGGATCAAGTTTGCAGCCAGTAAAACAAGCCAAATCGGAAATCGATGTGTATTTTTTAGAAGAAAATATAGACTTAAAAAAAGTTCACACCTGAAACATTTCGAAGTTCTGAATCTGGAATAAGTTCATCTAAAATTTCTCCAACTTTTTTACACATTTGAAACTGATGCAATTCATGATTTGAATTCACTTTTAATTCTAGAATATTAACGTACTGAACTGAAGAATCCGCCATTAGTTACCTTCTGCAAAACTGCAAAATTATTTTGTTAACAATGGACGAGTAGTTCGATATAACGCATCATAATTCATTAAAGAACAAGATAAAAAATACAAAACAAAAACAACTGATAAAAGGAACTCTGATTAAATTTTCATTGAGCATATTAAGTATATTTCGTACGAAAATACAAAGAAGTAAACTGAATAAAAAATTAAGACCAATTTTAAAAAATTCAAAAAATGGTAAATAGAGATAATTGCCATTTATAGAGCCAAAAATAATAAAATTCACAAATAAAAACTTCTGCTATAATAAAGATTATTAGGCCAAAATTTCTGAAATAAACCAAAAGAACTATCACCACTCCTCCCTCCCTCCCCACCTCTCCCCCCCTCCCCACCCCATACAACACACTCATACGTCCTCACACATATACTCTCAAAGATGGCTGAACCAGTAGTGATACAAGCTAAAAGAAATAAAAATATTTTAAAAAATTGAGTTAATTAATTTTAAAATTTAAACCATTACTGGTTAGGCTGGCTCCATTGGTTACTAAAGTAAGACGTTTCCAAGCGGCACAGTCTGATGCTATCGTTGACAGTAATAGAAGCCATTCCTTTTTCCATCATCTAAGTCCATATATTGCTGATCCACCTATATGTTCAAAATCTTTCCTGACAGTATTAGTCCAGGTCTTGACTGGTCCACCTCACTTTTGACGCCATCCATTACACGATTTAGCAAGTAACGAAATATGCGAAATATAACGAAATAACTCCTGTGGCGAACGACGAAGAACGTGCCTTAACCACGGAAGGCGACACTCTGTGATAATATTATTATTAATACAGGTGGTGTTTGAACGAAGGTGGATGCGATATGATATTTTATTCGCTCGACGGACCCGTAAAATATACCTTAGACAAGAGTGGTCAAAGGTAAATAATTCCTTAATATCCTCCGCTCTCATTGGCCATATTTCAGAGTCATATAGCAAAATGGAACGAATTACGGCTATATAGATACGAACTTTCGTTTTTATGGTGATTTCACGATGGCTCCATAAAAATTTCGTCAACTGGAAGAACATTTCTAGCTGCCGTGATCCGGGCTATAATATCGTCTTTTGCCTTGCCATTTGGGATTAGAGTGGACCCAAGGTATTTAAAATCGAGCACTTCCTCGACCAGCAATGAATTTACAAAAAGAGGCATTTTATCAGCTTCTTGCACATAAGATGAAAAGACTTTCGTTTCATCCGATTCTTGCTGTAGTTTTCTGTAGTTTCTGACACGTTATTTAGCGTCACTTACATTTCGTCATGACTGCCACCAAAAAAGAACTACATCATCAGCGTATTCAAAATCTGTTATACAATGCTGTGGACTGATTTTGACATCCCTTGAGTGCCGATGTGTCAATGCAGTGTAAATTACCCAGTCTATCGCATAGTTGAATATTGCAGTGGAAAGGACGCAGCACGTGGACACCAGTTCTTATTTCGAAGGACTCAGTTCCCCATATATACAGACCTACCTCGACGTACGCTTATAGAATGCCTTTATGAGTCGAATGATTTTCTCTGGAACACCGTCACGTTCCATCATTCTCCAAAGCACCGCTCTATCAATTGAAACAAAGGCAGCCGCAAAGTCGATGAAACACGTGACAGTGGGTTGCAAATATTTGAAGCGATGTTCCAACACCTTTCTTAACGTGAATATCTAGTCAGCACAACCGCGCTCCGGTCTGAAAGCAGCGCTTGATTAAGGTGCATCCTGCTGTCTCATACTGCCATAAGTTTAATGAGTAAAAAGGAAGCAAAAATATTCGCTGAGACGTCCAACAGTCTGATAATTGTCGCAGTATATCCTGTCATTTTCTTGAAAATTGGGAGCAGAATTGCCCTGCCCCAGTTATCTGGTAATATTTCTTTTTTCCATACCAGAGAGTACACTTATTGAAGGTGAGTTATGAAGAACGATGGACAATATTTGAAGAGTTTAGCCCATAGACCATCTTCTCCCGGAGTCTTATTGGCCTTAGGCTTATGGATAACGGATTATTTCTTTTTTGTTGGCGGCTCGTAGTTATAAGCGTATGGTTCGACGAATGTATCAGCTATGTCTGGGTTAACAGATGGCGCTTCATGGTCAAGTTTGGTCTAAAATAATTCTTTCCATCTTATGAGGCGGTCCTTAATACTGTTAACAGGCACACCATGGCTAACCCTTAACAATTCACTGAACGTTCCCCGAGTTACAGTTGCTTTGTGAAGAAGGAGGAATAGTTTCCTATTATCGCTTAATTGAGCCATCTCCATTCTCAAAGGCATGTCGCTGCAGTAGTGACTTCTGTCCCGTCGAGCTTCTATTATTGCAATCTTCGAAGCATCCGGTAGTCAGGACAGGACCTCCTGACATTCGCGCTTTGGCAGCTTTTTCAAACAGTTGGACTGTTGCTTCCGATACCTAACGCATTAGTATGCCCTAGCGTGGAAGTGGCTGACTTTCGGAGACTTTTTTTAGTTCGGACCAATATTGCATATAATAATTAATAATAAATATATAACAAATTTTACAGGAAATAAAGATTAGACCAACATTAACTGATAAAACCTAAGAATCTCACGAGAACAGTAGTCGTCTAAAATGAAAAACCATAAATCCCAAGAATAAAATAATCGAAAGCCGAAAGGTATAATTTTGCAGTCTTTTGTTTCGTCTGAATTTTAGAGTACCAAATTCGAAACTTCATTTGTTGAAGCGGCTTATTTCTTAAATTTTTTATTTGTTCTTAGGTTTTTATTTATTTATGTTTTTTATTTTTTTGTCTTTTTTGTTTTATTATTATTAATAGTTCATATTTAGTGAAAATTTATTTTTATTTAGAAAAGCAAATAATTTTGTTTTCGAAGTTTTTGGAAATTATTCGTTGGGTGAATTAAAATATTAAAATTTTTGAATTAAAATATTATTTTCAATGTTACAACTAATAAATATTATTTGTTTTCATTATTGTTTTATTATTACTATTATTACATTTATTATTTTAATATAATTTTCAAAATTTGGTGAAAACTTTTTCTTTTAATGAAATGCATCGTTAATGCGTTGGCCGACAATTTGAGTAAATCCAACTTCATATCGCGAATTAATTTCGTTCGCCACTGTTTATTTTCTCATATATTTGTGGATTTGTGGAAATCGCTCTTATCGTTTATTTATTTTCCATGGCTAATATATAATTTCAACTAATAAAATTAGTTTTAACTATTATTTTATCGATTTACCGAGTAAATACCTTAACAATGCCAGTAAAATTCAAGGGAGCGAAAAAAATGTGCGATTTTTGCAGCATCTTTTGTAATTTTTGTTTGTAAATTAGTTTCGTTTTCCAGGTTTTCCAAGTTCCTAATGCCAAAAAAATTTGTGGGTGAAAATTCGAAATCAGCTGCAGCTCGAGTTCGTAAAGAAGCTATAAAAAAAGAAGAACAGGAACGAAAAAAACAAGCTGAAGAAGATGCTTATTGGCAAGATGACGATAAAGCAGTGATGAAGAAACAGCAAAGAAAGGTTTGATTTTTTGCTCTTTTTTTTTATAATAGTTTTTCAGCATGTTATTTTTTTAACTCATTTTTGTCATTCTTTTTAACTCATTCTTGTCACTTGCCGTTTTAATTTTTTTTATTTTTTTTCGTCTTTTCATTCTTCTTTTTGTCTTAGACCATTTTTTTACATTTTACATTTTAGCTTTTATATTTTTATATTTTAAATTTTTGGAAAAAATGACACTTAATGGAGATTAAAGTCAGTTTAAGAAAATATTTATTCATTTATCCATTTTTTCAATATATTTGCAGGAAGAAGCCGAAAGGAAGCGAATGGAAGCGGCACAAAGGAAGCAAGAAAATCGTCAAGCTTATGATAAAGAAATGGATGCAATTGGAGGATACACTCCCTCACGGTCTGCCTTTACAAAGGTTTCGTTTTACGATTTTTTTTATAGAATAGCGCGGAAAGCGGAATATTTTTACCTAACTATATGTTTTTGTTCCTTAGTTTTTAGAATAGTTTTCTATGAGATAATTTTCTAAAAAATTAAAATTACAGAGATATTGTTTTATTTTTTGAAAGAAACATGGCAGCAAAGAGAGAACAAAATAATACTTATCTAATTGTTTTCAATATTTTTTAAAATCTTTTTGTAATTTCAGAAACCGATTGGGCGTTTCTTTCTCATTAATATTCTTTTAACATTGATAATTGAGAGCTCTTAATTCTGAGTAATCCTTATTTGTCCTTCACCTTGGAAGTTGTATAATCTCTTAATTATCTTATTCACTGTTGGAGTATTAATTTCTGCTTTTTAGATGACCCAAGCAACTATAACAAATCGACGGCTAATACAACAACAGAAAGAAGAAAAAGAACAGGAGAGAATTCTTCGAGAACGAAGGATTCAAGTTGTGGATGAAAATCTCGAAGAGAACGTTAATCAGCTTGTGGTATTTTTTTCTGTCATTTTTATCGGAGCTTATTTGTTTAGTGCTTTCCTATTGTTATGTCTATTCTGAATTAAGAAGGATCTTTTATCTATTTGAAATAACATTATTAATTGTTACAGAACTTTTTCGAATTTGCATTTTTATAGCACTCAGTATTTTGTCTGCTTTATGCTGGACTTTAATCGTTTGCTGTAAATTTATGGCATCACAAGCATCTTCTTATCATCTTATTTGTTGATTAGATTATTTATGGTGAAATTTATCATGAAATATATAAACAATAAATAATAAGTACAATTAATCATGAAATATATAATTTATAATTTAGATTGATGGCGAAGTCGCGAGGTCAGTCACTGATGCTATCAATATTTTATCTATCGACAAACCAGATTTTGATCGTCATCCTGAGAAAAGAATGAAGGCAGCTTATCAGGTATTTTTTTAAAAAGTAATGTTTGTTTTGTTCTATCACAACTCACTATAAATATATTTTTCCATTTTTTTTAAAATTTCCATTTACTTTAGTTTTTTTCTTGAATCATTTCATTATCATTTCATTCATTTTCTTGAATCTTATGGAACGTTAAATATTTACGATTTTTTTTCGTCCTTTAATCTTATTTATACCGTAGTATAATATTTAGTTTGAAGTAAAAGGGCATTTATAATGTTGCATCTATTCCATTGACTTTGAAGTATCAGCCCATTTAATTGATGTAAAATAAAACTGAATTGAATTTAGTTTTTGTCAGCATCTTAATCATTCACATGAAAGCTTTTTATTCTATCACAAGATTCATTTATTTGCCTATCAGTTTTTCTCTGAGAAAATTCTTTTTTATTTTTGTTTTCACTTAAAATTTTTGAAGGATTTCGAGGAAAAGATGTTACCTCGTCTCAAAGAAGAACATCCAACCTTCCGCCTTTCTCAACTAAGGCAATTATTGAAAAAAGACTGGCAAAAATCTCCAGAAAATCCTTTAAATCAGCGTCAAAAAACTATTGTATGAATGAAGTTTGTTATTTTTATGTTTCTTACCGCTCTTTATTTCAAGTATTAAGTATTTATTCCTTTTGTATCTTTATTTTCTCATTTTTGTATCCTTTCTATCTTATTGTATCCTTTTGTGTTTGTATTGTATTTTACTTTTGTACTTTTGTAAACAACCAGTTTTTTTTACCATTATAAGTAATTATAATTATATTATAGTTTCTTATATTCTTATTGCCAGGCCAAAATATGTCAGAAACTGATAAAGAAAAGTTTTTGAATAACCGCATGATAATTGATATAAAAGTCTTACAATAATTTTTCAGAAGATTCAACAGATCTTTTTTATTTTTTGTTTTGCAGATGTGAATATATTTTCATCAAGTATAATTTCGCTATGTGCTTGTGGATATCGGTTGATCGAATTATTTGATCAATTAATATTTAATAGAGGGAATTTCCAGATTATGTGGATCGTTGCTGTGTTATTTTTTTGCTTGATTTTTTTTCATGAAAGTTTTGTATATGTAATTGATTGCTAAGTTATTTTTTTGGGACGCCCGCTGGTTTTTGTGATAAATGATGCATAAAAATCGTTACATGTCATAAGTTTGTAGTTGCTTCGCTTTATAGATATTGATTCTATGGCCTTGAAGAAAATCTGGGAATCCTTTGTCTTGATAACTTCATGATACTGCTAACCAGCTTCTTTACGAAAGATTTATTAAAAAATATTTTAATTATAATTCGCAGTTTCAAATTTAGATATAAAGTAGGCATCTGTACATTGCATTAAAATCGCTATTTAATACTTATTAGCTATCGAAGTCCTGATAAATTCGTGAATATCGAATCGAACGCTGCCAACATATCAAAACGATTTCATTTCATAAATCATTTCAATAAAAAATTCGAGCTTTAAAATAAGTTTGTTTTTTTTTATGCAGAAATATTTTGCTGTACGTTAGATTAATCACTGTTTAGCAGGCAAATGAACAACTTAAAAGTAATAAATGATTTTAGTAGAAAAATAATAACCTATAATCAGTTTCATGTTTTGGTGTGAGAATAACATATCTCCATGGATCTATCTGTTTGATCTTTGAATTGAGCATTTGATTAAAGGTTTTTGTTTTGAGCAGTTAGTGATCGGAGTGAAAAAGAAATTTTACCAATAATACAATTTTTTGCAAAATAATGCAAAATAATTCCATACTAAATTAGTTTATATTCGAAGAAAAGTATGATAAAAGTATAAAATTGTCGATAGTACAAATGGAAAATTAGTGGCAGAGAAGTTTGAGCTTTCAAAGCGATAACTTTTTTTATTCATTTCATCCATCCTAGTTCGAGGTGAAAGTTGTGAATAAATTATCGTCGGACTTGGATTTCTCCGATTCGTTATTTCTTGATGATTTTGACCAGCACTGTGTCGATATGGTTTTGTCGTTCTCGATAACTTTTTCGCAATTTCTTTCGATGTGTTCATTGACAATTTTGGTGAATCTGTTTGAGCTGAACTGATCCTCGTTCCTACCTGTTCGCTTATCCATCCCATAGTTGTTTCTTTTTTATACACTTCAGTCGTAAATGTCGTTCTTTTATCTTCTGATGCCGAAGTATGAATGGGTTGTGTTGGTTCCGGTAATTCGATGTTTGGAACCGTTGGTGTCAATGAATTAATTGTGGTTGGTGAAAGTTGTAGTTGGCTATTCCTAGTGTAATCACTGACCCTTTGTTGAACATATTGCGTTGGTTTTAGCGGTATTTTTGTACTTGATTTTAGAATATTTTGGATTTGATCTGTCGTAAAATGTTGCTGGGAAGTCTCTTTCGTTTGCTGAATACCACTTCTGAATTGAATCAGACTATAAATTTGTAAACAAGAAAAAAATTCAAATTACTTGACCTATCTTACCTTACTTGCCAAGAATTTTTGAAAAGAACTGAAATTCCTCCTTAAAAGATAGTTTAATTTGCTAATTAAAAATGGCAATAAATTTCGAAATCAACGTACGATACAATTCTGCTGCTTGCGATGGTTTCAGCTTCAGTTGAATCCCACACAAAATCTGTGTCCCTAAGAAATTTTAACTTTTACTTACATGAAATATAAAATGTACTCATAATTTGGCTAAATATAATTTAAATTCAGGATAGTTGCTCTTTGTTAAATATTTCGTATGAAAATGGAAAACAATTTATTTGAAAAAAAATGTTTACAGGGCATCTTTAGCTTTATTACTGCATTATTCAAATCTCAAATTATCTCAAGGAATTCGAACTTCCCTTTCAAATTTGAGACGCATTCTAAGAAAGTTAGCGGATTAATGAGTTTATTTCAAAATACCAAAAAATTGCAATGAATTTCATCGAAAAATTTCATGCAAGAAGATAGACAATATCAAATTTATAATATAATAAATTGTAAATTTATTATATTATAAATTTATATAATAATTATTATAATAATTTATAATATAATTTATGATATCAAATTTATAATATAATAAATTGTAAATTTATTATATTATATTAATTTTATATTAAATATTTCATAATTTAATTATTTCCACCGAAATATTCATTTTGATAAAGAATTTTAAAAATGCTTATAAAAAAAGATTAGGAGAACTGATTAAAATCTCGCTGTGTTTCCACTAACATGAACATAATTTATAAGAAATCTGTGAAGTCGACAATTTTACAAATTTCACAAATAGTCCCCGCATCTTTCGCATACAGTTTCGATATTAAGGGAAAGGGAGATTGATAAATCCATTTACTATTGGTGGAAAGATGGATGGTTAAAATATTTGGATAGCGCAACGGGCAGTGATTTAAAAAAAAAAAAAAAAATTGCTGATTTTATAAAAAACCTATTGAATAAATATTTTGGAATAATTTTTAAATATTAATATTAATAAATAAATATTATAAATGCCCCAAAATAAATGTAAAATGATAATTCTAATGGGGACTGAAAAATAAATTTAACTTTTTTTTATTATATTATATTTTATTTTATATTATATTTTTACAAATTTTTTTATTATATTATATTATATTTTATATTATATTTTTACAAAAATATTTTCAAGAATAAATTTTTTTTTCAAGAATAAATTTTTTCTCTTCCAAAAATTATAGAAGTATAAGTAAAATTAATTCATCTAAGAACTTTATACTTCAACCAAAAAATTCTAAAATTCTATATTTTGTCATTTGATTAAGTATAAGTAATCGTCTCTTCAGAGATTTCAGAGATATATTCCTTATATTCCAGTTTAACACTCAATTAGCATTACCAATTTCTAGTTTTAAACAATTTTGTTTATAATATTATTTAGTAATATTTTAAAAAACAAGAGCAATGGACATGCTTGCTGAAAACAAGGATTCGCCTTCTGCACCAAACAGAAAAAAATACAGTTATGTGCTAGAGGCCCTTTCATAAGTACAAGTTAGCTGATGAAAATTTCTGGCCATGCTAACAGCTAATGGAGCAAATCAAACCAGAAATGGCGACACTTTACTTTAGTAGAAATACATTCTCAATCCGCTTGTATCTAGGATGTTCATTATTAAAACAGTGCGCATAGCATAATTGTTGCTCTGCTTGACCTTTCTTATAAATAAATTTTATCATTGAGAATAATTATCACTTTTGTTATCGAAGAAAAGAATTTAAAATCATAAAATCAATTCAAATCGTCGTCGATAGATTCGTTTAAAAAAAAATACTTTTGAAAGACTTTTTTGGGAAATTTGTAATTCAAACGATGCGCCATTTAGAAGAAATAAAATTTTATTATAGCGATTATTTTGTTGCAAATATAATTCCATATCAAAAAATTTAATTTCATTTATTTTTCATTATCACTTGCAATATTCAACAAAACGCGCATAAAAAACGAGAAATCTAATTTCCTGTCACCTATACGGTTTCCTTCAATTTCCATGAATTTTTGTATGTCGCATTTGATACAAATGACTCATTATGCTAGTAATACAATAATGGCTTAGAACGAACAGTAATTGAAGAGAATAAAAATTAATTCACATGAAAGCGCTGGTGAAAGAAGGAAGGATGGTGACGGAAATTTATTTGCCTAGCAAAAGTATCTAATCACCTTAAGTTGTGATATCGAACCGAGAAGCGTAGTAGCTTCTTATCCTAGCAGCTAACAGAGCCAATTAAATCGGAAATAAAGCTCACCACTGAAAGAAGAATGCTTTGCTTTATTAAAATTCGTATTGCAAATTTTTGCTATAAAAAATACACCAATGAATTCGAAAATAGGCGAATAAAAATATTCTCCAAAAATTTCTTTATTATTTTCTACAGAAAATTTTCAACCAATCCACATATTATTTACATATGGCGGAATTAAGGCAATTTATATTTCAGTTAAAATTCAATCTTTTCTTATAATTTTCTTATTATTAATTATTATTATTTTGTTTTAAATTATAATTTTATAATTTTATAATTATTGTAAATTATAAATTATAATTTTAAAATGAAAATTGTCGATAAGAAATATGGAGGAAGGATGGTCGAGTGATATGGGTGCTCGATTCGCGTCGAGCATTCGAGACTCTAACCAATGGAACTCGCCCGATTAGAAGCGCGTTAGCTTAACGAGAAATGGTGAGCTTTAATCATTTATTTAATAAACAAAAACAATTAATGCTCTAAATGTTTTTAAGCAAACGAGAATCAAAACAGCTGAGTGGTGAGTTTGTTCAGCAAACTTTTTAATTAAGTTAAGGCCCAGTGTTGACAGGTGTTATGTCCTATCCGCTTGACATGAATCAACTTTATCATTGGAACTTAGGGAATCTTTTTCAGGCAGTCATTGAAGAAAAAAGGGTTTCAAACAAGAGAATAGAAGATGGCCTAGTGTTGACAGGTAATTGTTCAGCCCTTACCTTGGTCTATGAGCTATCATAAGCCTATAATTAAAGAACGGCTCACTCGCATTAATAGCCAAATGATTCCTTGGAAAAAACAATATTAAGAGAAGCGAGCTCGCTTACCCGAAATGCTTATTTTCTTTTTTCTTTCCTAAAAAAGATTTTTTTTAAATTGTGAAATTAAAAGAGCGAATGTGATTTGGCAGCAAAAGTTCCATGAATTACATTTTCATCATCGATTAAGCGGCAATAAATTTCTCTTTTTTATTTCGCGATTTCTGTTAATTCTTTTATAATTTTATAATTTTTATAATTTTTCTTTCAAAATTGTATAAATATTTCGTTGTTATCGATAAATTTAAAGTAAAAATTCGATAGAAATGACACACTGAAAGCCATCTGATTTATCGAATATTTGAAGAGTAATTTGATAAGTTCGTTTGATATTTAACTCTCTAAAAGCTAAAAATTCATGCAGACGACACAAAAATTTGAAGTTGCTAAAATAACATCGATTAGCAACGAAGAACTACAAATATTTGCATTTTATTGTTGAAAATATTAGCACTATAAGGGAAAAAGCCTTATGTTCAGCCAACCCAATCGCTAATGGCATACGCTAGCAGAAAAGAAGAATAGAACTAATAATAAAAAGTATTTCAAGGTATTTCTTAGTTTAACTAATAAGTCACCGAAAAAGTTGTATAATTACTGGTTAATATGAAATTCTGTAGTTTGCAATTTTGCAACCAAATTAAAAAATCGAAAGAATTGAAATGGCTGTTGGAGCTGATGAGAATTTTTTCCAGAAAATCACAAGCTAAAGATTGAATCCCTTGTTAAATTCTGCCAAATAAAAATAGTGAGAATCTATCAGTATTTCTAGATATATTGGAATGTGCAAAAGTGTGAAATGATGAACGCAGTCAGTAGTGGGATAAGAAGAATCACTGACACTATATGGTGATAATCCGTTTCTATTTATAGAAACAGAATTAGAAAATAGCAATCAGCAATTTTAAATCATTCAAAACTTTTTTTTGGCGATGGCAGATATTAGATTTCATCGCTGATAATTATTTCACATAATTGCACCATATGTAATAAATAAATAATTTTGTGGCAATGCATCAACATAATTTATATTTGTTAGAGCATAGATTTGAAAGTATTTCTCAGTTTAAAAATTCGTAAATGCCAAATTTAAGAAATTTTCAAGAATGCATGTGTTAATTTAATTAGTACTTTAAAGAAAAAAACGCGGTTTTTAATTTTTTAGTTTTTACAAACTAAATCTGCTTTGACATTCGCTGAGGGCCTAAACGCTTAGGCCCTTTGTTCACTTAAAACGCCTTCTCAGTGTGGTATCTCAAATGTTCAATTGATTACGAATTTTAGTCCCTTTGAATTAAGTGAGTTAAATTAAACTTTCATTCATTTGCTTGGAGTTGTCTGGATTCATTTGTTTAACGAATGAAATTTGTTGATAAGGGATCTGATAAGCTGGAAACTTGATTTCCAAGTATAAAGCAACGATTTTTAAACATTTTTGGATTTAAATTATGATTACGCAAGTAGATGAATTGAATTTATCAATTCTAAAAGCAAATTTAATATTATTTATTTGAATGAATAATGAGTGACATTTTGATAAGATTAACACCACTTCGAGGTGCATTTTTTACTTAAGAAGAATGAGAAGAATTCTATTTGTAATGAGATAAAACATTAAAATAATTTTCGAACCAAACCCAGATGGCTTAGTGGCAAAATCATTGCAACCGAGAATCAAGAACAGCTCTGTGCAAATTCCTCAGCTCAATGGGTTGTATTCCTCATTTCGGAACACCGATGCAGAAATTCCCGATAGGATAAACTTCAAAAATTCGAATGATGCTGGCTACTCACCTATATTTTTGTCACCAAGTGATCTAGCAAAATTTGTCTGACGCGATAAGCTAGCGAAACCTAACCAGTAGTAATACCCTTAGAAAAGAATGCCAGATTTAATTTAACTACTTTTTAAGCTATTTATGATTTTGCGAATAGTTAAAAAGGAGACTTTCTTAATTGTATAAACAATGATTAGTTTTACTGAACTTAATCTGCTAAATAAATTGAGATAATTATCCAAAAATCTTGATTTCTCATAAAATAGAAAAATACAGAACAACTGACAAAATGATAGGATGATAGGTCGAGGAGTTCTGTTGCTTCGATTAAGATTTTATTCAGTTTTCGCTATTTGACCAAAACAAAACCCACTAGACGCTGGTACTTCTATCCTCAAGTGATACTCTGAAGAATTTCATTTCCATCCTAAATAATAAACGAATCCAACCAAAGCAGTTATGGTGATTGGTATTAAAAGTAGAGCGAATAAAATTATGGAAGAAGTTATAACTATTGTTAATTAAAAGAAATTCTTTCGACTTCGATTAAAAAATAGTCTAAAAAAAATTAGCATTAAAATAGAATCACTAAATTAGCATTGAAAAGAATCACTGTGAACATTTTGGATGAAATGAAATGAAATGAATTGAAGGAGAAATATTCGAACATTTGCTTGTAAATAATCTTTGATAGAAAAATAAAAAATTCATTTGAAATGCACAAATTACGGAGGTTTTTTTCGGATATTTTTGATTTTAATTTGTTAAATTTATCTAAAATATTAATTAAAAACGGAATAAAAAGAGAAATAGCTAACTCATCATCAGTTGACTCGTCGTGAATTTGTTCTTCAACAAATGTAACAATAGATTCCTTCGGCGATGGAGTGATTTTAATAGTTTCTATTAAATCCATCCTTATAGCCGATTTGCGTTCTTCGTTCTTATTTGCATCGGGCCGTTGTTGCTGAGGAATTGTTTCACCAAGATTTGTGAAAAAACTGTTGAAATTTCTTGATTCTGATATGTCTGGTTTCCTTATCGAATCTTGATTTTTATTAATCCTTCTCTCAATACTTTTTGAATTTTCAAAACGATTAGCCTTTATAACAAAAATATCATCGCCAGATAATTCAGTGGATGAGGGTTGATAGTCTTCGTTGTGTTCTTCATCAACATCGAATAATTCCCTTTCTAGATCGACGTTACAAAAATCGACATTTCTACACCAACATGCTGTAGCACTTCGTACAACATGGCAAAATGTATCATTTGAGCTTTGTTTTATAAGAACACATGCGAAATGCGTTTGTTTTGATATTCGTACAGCACCGCATGCTGCTCGTTTTGTTCCCTTACCATGGACATCACAGTAATATCCATTACACGGTGCAGCACCTTTATTAGTCGAGCATTTACAACGAAGTAAAACTGCGTAAGGAATTAGAAGAGTAAATAGTATAATTAACTGATAAGATTGATTCAAATAAAATATTATTTGCATCGACAAAATGTAGTCGAATGCAAACAAGAAAATAACAGTTTGTGAATAAATAAAATAAATATATATGTGCACAGATGGAGAAAAGCTAACTTTGTCTTGGACAGGAAGATGCTAAATTATCTTTTTTTTATAAAATTTAGGCTAATTCAACAAAAATATTTATGAATAAGGCGATAACAGGAGCGGCCAAATGAATTAACAGTTGGCAAATGAGTAGCAGTTATAGCGCTACAAGAAAGAAGGTTTCGTCTATACCAAAAAACTGAAATAGCTTAGTTTAACCACGAATAGCCACCACTAAAAATACTAATCAGTTTTGATTATAAAATTTCGATAAATATTGTCCCTGGCTGAATATATACTAAAGCGGTCGATTCAGTGGGAAAATATATCGAGAATTTTGCACTCTGATAGGTTTCACGACGTACAAATCATCAATGGTAAACATATAGACCGCTGTGAAGAAAGCATGATGGCAAAAGCTAGTTGAAAAAAAGGGAGGCGGATTTTTCATTTCTTCTTCATCATCATATTGAAAGGCTGAACTGGACATATACATTTTCTAATATTTTAGATTAATTTATTCAGGTCGAAACGTAAAAAGCCGAAATAAATGCATTGCAAATTGCAAAACGTGTCACTGCACGGAATACAGAAAATCTTTTTGAAATTTATATACTACTAATTTTGCTAGCAAAGTTTCTTTGAAAGAGATTTATGACAGGCAACATCATCAGTTCACAATCAATCTTGTTGTCTTGTTGCAAAATCTAACGCTAAGGCATCAAAATTCAGGTTGAGAAAATTAATTTAAAAATTCCAAATCCTTGAAATATCACCGTATAAATTCACATTTCATCTTAATTAACTCATAGCTTCTGTCTGAATTACCTTATCTACTTTATATCTATCTTGGTTCTTTATTGTTAGAATTAAAAATTTCATTTTTTCAAAACAATTTGTGCGGATTAGAAGATAAAAAGCTATTTGTCAACTGATGGTATGATAATAGTTAGCTGATAATAAGTTTTCGATCATATTAAAAAGTTAAAAAAATTTGTTTGTTCTCAATCCTCAATCCTTTTCAATCCTTCGTGACGCCTGGTGTTTGTTTGCACTCTGGTACTCTGGTACTTGCCTTTTTTCAAGGGTGAATTTCCGATGAAAAATCTCATCTCTATAAGTAATAGAGCCAAGCAAAGCAGAAATGCTGAATGCTGTTAAAAAATGAGGAATTTTCTGCAATGGATTTATATTGATGCTGGATAAATCGTCTAAAATAAATAATGAATGTCAACGTAGTTCGATAGCTAAGAATAACAATAATCGTCGCCGATTTATAGAGAAATAATGCAATTTAAAAGGTGAAAATAGAAAATTTATGAATCGTACGAGAAGTTTTTTATATAAATTTATATATTTTTATTTTTAAAAAAATAAAAAATTGTGGAAAAGCGTAATAAATCTCATCGAGCGTTGTCATTCATTTCATCCTTTTTCAATCCATTTGAAGCGAATGAAAAACAAAAAATGATGAGCAATATTCCATTGAAATATGAAAAATAAACTTGTGTTTTATATTTGACGACGAAACCGTTTTTGTTGTTTTTTCTACCGTCTTTCCTTTCTTCATTCGATTGATAAATTTATTCATTTTTTTAATGTTCTCCTCCTTCCTTTTATATAATTTCGGTAACAGTTTCATCCGTCTTTCTTTTGTGTAAATATCCCTCTTCCTTTCTTATTTCCTCCCCTCCTCCGTTTCGCCACTTCTTACGATAACGAATTCAGTTGTACCTATTTATAACTTTTTTTCTTGGAAATTTAATCCAATTGGAAATTAAAATATTGGAATATAATTTGATATAAAAAAAATGCATAAATCAAGAAAATTTTCAAAATTTTCCGATCTCTTTTATGTTTTGTTGCTTCAAAGAAATTTTTTTACTAAAATAAAATGAATATAAAATGAATCAACTTTGACTAATAGAAATTTAGTTTCCTTGTAGCTGAAATTAAATAAGAAAACATATTTATTTAAATATTTTTGTTATTTGATTCGCAAATAATAATAAATTAATTAGTTTCCAGCAATTTAAATATTTCACTTGATTCGATTTGACCTATTTTCATGAAATATATTTTCATGAAAATATTACTTAAATTAATGCACAACGTCTCGAGCATCAAGATGACGTGCGCCAGGAACCAACGTATAATCAAGAAGTACGGGTGGTGCTTGCAACCCACCTATATTTTTAGCATCGGGTGACTGACTTCGATAGAAATTTTCTCATGGAAATTCTGTATTAATGGATATCAATAAATGGAGTGAGCCTAACCAGAAACATTGAAAACTAACGCTTTCTATTGTGCAATTTGCCGAAATTTAAAAATCCCATTTTTTGCTTTAATCTTAAATATATATATAAATTTTTATAAAAATGCAAGAGAAAATAAAAAATCTTTTGATCTTTTTTTTAATATTTTATTTTAACTTCAAATAATCGTTGTTTGTTTATAAATTTTTTTGGAAAGTTCCATCAATTTTTTTTTAAATTAAATTTTTAAATTTCTTTCTTCCCACGTATTTTAGAATTAATTTCACAATGATAAATCTGATGAATTATTTAAAAAAATTATAATTAAAAAATAAGGAAAAAAGGAAATCGACGCAGATTTCACATCGATGAATCGCCAAGATATTTTTACTAGTTTTTTCTTTTTTTTCAAAAATGAAATTTTTTTCCTGAAATGAATTTATTTTTAAAAATTCCTAAAATTATTTTGTTAGCCTATTTATCTTTTTTAAAATCATTTATTTATTTAATTATTCTTACATTTATTTTTATATTTTTTCATTTTGGATATAAAGCATTAGCGCACCACTTAACGCACCAGTAAGATAAGCTATATAGCCTATCACTGTTCTTTAAATTTAATGCGATTAGAGTTAACAGTTTCTATTAAACTCACCGCGGTGATTATTATTGCAATTTAGAAATTTATGCCAGCAAATTAGAAGAAATTGAGAAAGATGCAATTGGATTGCGAGCACCATCCGCAATGAATCTTATTCAAAAGTTTCAACTCATTTTGATTTTTCCAATTGCTGATTTAAGCGTTCGCTTATACAGCCTTGCTTCAGATGGTACGAAAACAGTTGAGAGTACCACATCATCGAAAATACTATTGAATTTATTATCTGCTGAATTTCAAATTTTTATAAATCGTATGAATTTATATCGCATGAAAGAAATACTAAGAAAGCACTTGTAGTTCAATGCAGAATGTTAGAAATACTGCAAATACTATTCATCGAATTTTTGTTTCCTTAAAGCACCGATTTTTATTCGAAATTTAAGAAATTCAAGCAATGGCAGCTAATTTTTCGACACGATTTTTCAGTGTTATACAACAAAGTTTTATTTCCATTTTATTTGCCTAATGAATAATGATAGTCAAACAAAAAGAAATTAAAGTTGGAGTGGAGATTTCCGATTTTAAATTCCACTTAAACTGTTCATGCTCATGTTCAATTTTTGCCAAAATTATTTCCCAAAGATCTTATAAATATGTAGATTTATAAAATTATAATGAAATAATTATTATTAAAGTAAAATATAGTAATCAGTCTATCAGTTTGTACTAAAATTTAGTGTTTTAGGAATTATCAGTGTTCATTCGCATTACTAAGAAGGACAACAAATATAAGAAGAAAATGCTATTGCAAAATTTTACATCAATGTTGTCCCAAAGAAGCACTATAAAATACTTTTATTGCATTATAAATAAATTATAATAATTCGACGACGGAATTTCTTGAATCGCTTCTTATAAATTTTTCCTTAACTGAACCTAAAAAACCTGGTACTCGTCGTTTTAACTCTGCGCATTGCGTTTAGGCCATTCTTTTGTTACTTGAGGATGGGCCATAGGTGGATCATCAGCAACGTTTTCACTTTTAATATTTTCCGTTAAGAGACCAGAACAACCAAACAACGTAGTACAACCAGTGGGATCAGCAATTGTTTATAAAGACGAAATATTTTAGTTCCACTTCAAATCATTTGAAATGGCAATTTTATATTTAAATTATTGTTCAACTATTATTTGAACTCGCGGATTATTTAAAGAACAAACTTACAGATTTACTACATTTATGAGGTTTGCAGTTTCACTATTCCGAGAAAAATATAAAAATAAAATGATCTGATTTGGTATTCGTAAGTAGAAGGTATTGGCATTTTATTTTTATTTACAAAACAAAGTGAGAAAAACTTAGAAAGACTGACGAAATGCTCGGACAGAAAAGGCAAAAAAGGCCACTCCAGTAACACCTTTTTCGATAAAATCAACATTTCAATGTGAGCTCAAAAATGACTTTGCAATAGTTTTCTGTGGATTATACGGTAATTCCAAGCGGATTTTTAAAATTTTTGACTTCTTCTTCTAGCAGTTCGCACCATACCTTGTTAGATTGGCACTTTTAGGACAACGCGCTTCAAGACTTTTAACTGAACTTCTCGATGCTAGCGATTCATTTTCTATTGCCTGGTATATTTATCCTCTCCGATAAACCAGCGGAGCGAACTGCTAGCCACCGATGGTGGATGCTCTTAAAGAACAACTTTTGACTTGATTAGATGATCTAATGAATTTTTAACTAACGAATTAGACTCGTGCAAGCAGATAATAAAAATGTCAATATGAAGTCAGTAAAGTTCATTCCTATAGTATTGCAGTTGTATTACAAAACAATTTTATGTTGAATTGATCCGATAAGTTGTTGTGTCAATATTGATAAGAACTCCTTCGCCTTCATCAAGAGAGCTAATCTTAATCTTATTACTTCCATCATTCACATTATTATTACTCATCTTTGGGTAAAAATAAAATTTTTTATTTTAACAGATTTTTTAAAAATGAATAAATAAAAATACCGAAATGATGAATAAGCAAAAAAAAAGTTATCAATGAATAAAAATGATGAGAAATATAAAAGAAATGGTAAAAAAAATAAGCAAAATCGTACAAAAAAGGGAACAAAAATGCAAAAAAAAGAAATAAAAACAAATGAACTCGTTTCTTATAAAATATGTAAATTAGATGTATAGGATGGCAGAATGGATTGGCGCTGTCATTTTGGAGGGCTGATGCTGGAAATTGTACTCCCCGCAGGAATAAACCTATCGAAAAGCCGAGTGGTGCTGGCGACTCACCCGTAGTTCGATCTTCGAGTGGTTATTAGCAAAATTTGCTTGATCCGACAAGCTAGCAGGGCGAATCCAAATAAGCTGAAATGCTCTCTTCACAAAATAAAAAATATCTGTTTGCTCTATTTGGAATCCTTATTTTATTCTATTTTAGTGCAGTTAAATTATTTTATTCAATTTCGAAGATATTTCAGAGATTGAAGATAAAGAACCACTCTCATTTGCTATAGAAAAATGTTATTTTATTTTTTCGTTTTTCAATTTCTTGCAAAAACCTTCTTTGCTGTTAAATATTTCAATAGCAAAATCCGCCAGAATTTCATTCTTTCCTTTGTCATCTCATCAAACAATACTATAATCGTTTGACGCAATCCATTTGCAACTCTCTCAAAGAATGATCACCGCTTCACCGTTGTACTTCTTTTCTTCAGAACTTGATGGACTCCTTAAACAAACTCGAACTTCTTTATTTGCCTTCGACACCCGATCAAAGCCTTCAGCACTTCTTTTTTGTCAACGAAGTCTCTCAGTTATGGCTCCTCAATGGCATTCATTCCTTCTCCTCTTCCCTTATGTTTCCGTCGTGCTTGGTGCAGATTTCGTTACACTCCTTTTACCAACATAATCATCGCCTAAAAAATATAGATAGCGCGACTTAAGGAGAATAATATGGACTTGACGAGTTTGAAAGGTGTTATATGAGAGTTTCATGTTTTATAAGAGTGCAAATGGGATTCAAAGAGTTTGATGATCTCATTCTTTCACTGGTTATACTGGTTCTTTACTGGCCAAGAGAAATCTAGCCAAACAAATAAATGGTTTGCTTAAATAATTAGGAATATATGTAATCAAAAATATCTAAAATTTACGATTGATGACGGAATCATTGTCTATTAAATAAAGATTTTCAAAGATGATCGCTGATAAAACACATTACACTGGCTGCAAATAGCTTGTGGTTGGTGATTATACGAAAATGCGATTATAATTATAATAGGGATTATGATGGGGTGGTTGCTTCTGGCCATCTGAGAGTAAATAGTGTAGGCTCGATTCGTGTCTGATCTTGTCTGAATGAAATGAAATAAACCTCTCTCTAACTGAACATGAATTTCGAGAAGCCTGAAATTCTGGTCCCAAGCTTTGACCGAAAAGTCTCGCCTAAGTAAACAGCTAGCTAAACTTTTATAGAATGTATGATATTACTTTGTTAATTAAAAATTCAAATTAGCCTTTTATTATAACAAATTTAAAAAGGACTTATTAGCAAAATTTGTTTGGAACAAGCTAGCAGAGCCAAATAAACTAGAATTATTGTGCTCTCTTGCAAAATAAAAAATATCTGCTTGTTTAAATCTCCTACAGTAATTTTTGTGTAAATAAATTTTCTTCAACACTTATTTTTGGTTAGACTTGTTGCACTAGGTATTACGAGATAATTAGGCTATAGAATCATTTGAGAGGAGGCAGCCTAGCATCTTCTAGTTAAGCAACACAAGATGGACCAACATGCTTCTTCATTTAACAGCTCTCATCATTGCTAGTTAAGCAGACTGCGCTGCTTACAAGGGTAAAACCAATGTGCATGAAATGCTAATCTGAGTGGCGACCGTTTTCGAGACTATTATATTATTACCATAAAATTAAGGATAGGCAAACTTCTATTAAAACTTTTAATTATATTCGACTACAGAGAAAAAAAAGAAATTCCATTGTAAAATTTTTCAGCTTAATTAATTTAACTTTACAATTAAATATGGCTGAAAAGATTTTTCCAATTGAAATGAATGGATATTTCACAAAAAGAAAAGAAAAGGCTACGAATCGCTAAAAAATTCGTCCGAGTAACGCAACGAATGTAATTTGTCAGCGAAAATAAATCACACATCAAAGAGGATTTTAAGCGATATTTATGAAATGATTTATTCATTTTAATTTTTTGAAAACTTTCAGTAGCCACAATGATTGAATGGCATTGCTTCGATTAAGGCCTAAGGCCAAATGTCCGTGGCTTCACTAACCATTTTGGGCCGAAGTAAAGCTATCATGACAAACGAAGCAAAACCAGAAACTAGGAGCGCTGTTGGAGGAAGAATCTGAAGTCGCTATCGCACATATATTATAAATGTGGCAAAACACTTGAAAATAACCAACGTTCCATCGCATCTAAGGAACTCGGCTATTGTTTATAACTTTTATGACCAATATGCATGGTAATGAAGAACGGCAGAACTGAGAATCGTGGTTCATCCGAACCGACCTTAGAGATGGCATTGAAGTATTAATAAAGTTGCTCACTTGTCAGCGACAAATTTAATTTCAGTAAGATCGTACCTTGTTTCCAAATAAATCCACAGATTAGTTCCTTGAGGGTGGAAACACGAGTTAGTTTCGCCCAGTTTCACTTCTAATGACAAATTTACTACTGCCAAGAGATATAAACCAAACCTACGATTTAATATTTCCCTCCCTCATGTTATTTTTCAAATAATAACTTACTAATTTTGAATGAAACTAATCCAACAACAACTCATATAATGGCTTTACAATTTTCATAATTAACTAGAAAGTCGAAATATTCTAAAACATTTTCTATTTAGTGTAAAAGAACAATTGTTAGGAACAATTCACTTTTGCAGTTTTGATCAAAGATTTTAAAATGTTTTAATTAGTTAATTAAACACATTATGAAAATATTATAGTATAATAATTAACTATAATCACATAGTAATTATTATTTATTATTATTAAGTAATAATAATTATTTAAAAATATTATTTGAATAAAATATTATTTAAATTATTTGAAAATATATTATTTTATTTGGGTCTCTGAAATGATTTATAAAAGACAAAATAATTATAAAATTATTAATTATTATAACAATTTATATTACCTATTTATACAACAAATATAAATTTATAAATACAAAAATATGAAAATACAAAAATAGAAAAATGCAAAAAGCCTAATTTACAAAAATTATTCTCGAGAACGTACGAGAAAATAATTCTTTTTTCGCCTGTTTTATAAATTAAAAAATTTATAAATTAAAAAATCAGTCCTCAAGAAAGAATAAGTTCTCAAGAAAATATATAAAAAATTTAAAGCATATTTGGCAAAATAAAGCAAAACTATTTCAAAATGAATGTTTTACGATACAAATTGAGAGTGCACATTCGTAATTAAATAAAACTATTTTAACTAAAATATAAAAACTTTAACAACATTTCATAAAAGAAATGCTAAAAATCATAGCCTAGAACAATAAATGAATAAAGCAAACAAATCAAATAAATCAAACCAAGAAGATGAGTTTCAGTTAGACCTAAAATGCAGATTACAAATAATACATGAAATAACAAAATAAAGCAAACAAAACAAAAACAAAAAAATCCAAGCAATAATATTCAACAAGAAATCAAAGCTTCAGCTTAAAATTTATTTGAAAACTTTAGTAAAAATTTATAAAAATAAAGCAAATACAAAAGTGCAAATGAATATGATAAAGCACAGAATGAAGCAAAGAAAACTAAGAAATTCTATTGACAAAATAAAATTTTTCATTTAACATATCTATAACTGATTAAAAATATTAGAAATGATCAATTTTAACCGAAACAAAACGATCAGTAACCATTGACGACGCATTTTCATCGAGCGTTACTTGATTCCATTCTTCACCGGTCCCCGATTTGAGTGCAAATGTCCAGTTTCCACCGCTATTCGATGCCGAATGCGGCAATCTAGAAATCCGAAGTCATTGGTAATGGAATTCTTTTCAAAAATATTAAAAATCAAAATAAAATGTCCAACTGGAAATTAATAGTTTTTGAAAATCAAACTAAATTAAATCAAACTAGGTTTAAAAATACGATATCTTTTATATTCCCAAAATCTTTTCATTGTTCTTATAAAATTCTTTTCTTTTTCGAGAAAGGGCATGACAGCCATTATAAAACATGTTTTCAGCACCTGAGTTCAACAGGTACATTGAACTGTAAGTTTTGTGGTCCACACATCACCAAAGGACTCATTAAACATTCTTCACGGCTTTCGTCTAAGGGCGGTTGGCTCTGTTCAGAATTCGCTCTGCATACCTTTATATAAATTTCTTGTTGAACCTTAAATGACAAATTTCACAGGAAAATCAAATAGCCAAAAATATAAGCACTTGAGCATTTTAGCAATTTTTAAATTGAAACTAAACTAAACAGTTAACATTTAATTCAGCTTAGTCATTTAAAGCTCAATATATTTTTTTCAAAATATAATCTAAAACTTTTGAAGATAAATTTTTCAATTCATTGATAAAAAAGTTTCAATAAAAATTTCCAGACTATAACTATTATTCCAACATGAAAATATATAAATTAAAGAGAAACTGAAATGAAAATACCCCTTCATTAATCGCTCCATTTGGAATGATAAGCATTGCTCCGGATTGAGGACAACTGATCGTTCCACCGCTCGAATCAACAACACTTGATACATGTTCGATAACTGTTGGTTCTAGTGTATCTCGATCCCTAGGAGATTCATCGTCTATTAGCTGTGTGATTTGTTCATCAAGAGTGCGTAAAGATGCATTTGCAGTCGGCTCTTTCGCTTTCAACTGTATAGTAGCAGTTGCTTCAGATTCTAATGGCGAAAGAACAACAGTTGTTCGATCATTCGGTACTGGCTTTGGACTTTCCACAAATGGGATTCGATGTTGTTGCTGATATTCATTTTGTGACATAATATTACCACTGAAAAATTGTAACTCTTCATGAAATATACATAATAAAATATTAAAAAAAAATAAATTAGATAATAAAATAATATAAAATGCAATAAATATAAAATTATATGAGATAATAGAAAATTCGACAGAAAAGTTTGAGAAATACTTAATCTTAATATATTTATATAATATAGTTTAATATAATATAGTTAATATATTTAATTTACTACTATTCCAGGAAAAAATTTCTCATAATAATTATAGCTACTGTTGTTAACGCAACAGTACTTACTAGTACTAGATACTTAAATAATAAAAATAAATAATCGCTGCCAAATTAATTCTACAAATATTAAAATAATTAATGAGATAAGAAAGATTGGGAAAATTATTAACTTCTTCGGCTCATTTGCACGAATAAAAGCAGTATTTTGGATGGAAGATGGCTGAAAGGCGGAACGCAGTGGCGATCCCTGAGGGATAACAGGGATCTTCTTATCAGCATTATTATTCCAGCGTGCCCTAAAACATGAAATTCTTTATATAGATCTAAAACTGAAAGTAAGGTGAATTTTGAAAGAAATATTTATGTGAGAAAAAACTGGAAAATGAAAAAAAAAGATTAATACCTCGTCAGATGATCGTAAAACAATCCAGTTCGAGGCGAATTTTGAGAATCTTGTATTTGCGCACGTATTGGAGAATTTCTTGGATTTGAAAAAGGCGCATTTTGGCAGTTGTAATTATTCGATTGAGCCAAATAATCAGTTCCATAATAATCAGGTGATTGTTCTGCGAGAATCTAAATTTTTGAAGCAGATATAATCTTGGAGAAAATAGCCATTGAATCACAAAAGGTTTTAATTGAAGGAAAATCATGGCTTCGATTCCTGTACCTCGACGAAAGTAATTCGCCTTAACCTGTTTTTAAAAGCATAATCTGAATGGATGAGGTTCCACATTTATCGGACTCTCTGGAGAAAGATTTGTAAAATGCTTCATGCTAGTAGCAAGCGGAGATAACCATAAAGAAAATGGTTATGATTGAAAAAGAATATATTCCTGGCGAATCCAAAAATATAAAATAAGTCGACAATAATTTCACTTGCACAATAATATTTACTAATTGGATGAGAAGAAAATTTCAAAATTCTTGAAAAATTCTCCTATAGTATTAATTTTTGCAAATATTACATTAACTTTCCTGCGCAAAAAATAAATACAGTGCAAAAGACAAATATTCACACAATTTAAAGTTTTGCGAAAAATTTGAAACAAACCTGTTTAACATCGTAATAACCAGGTGATGTCTGTGACAGTCTTTGCGAGCATTGCGGATCTGTAATAACTGTATGAGAAGGAGTAACAGCAGTTGTTAGTGAAACATCAAGATTAGTAGGTTTTAATGAGTTTTCCTTGGCGATGGTATTCGATTTCATTGGAGAAAATTGTTCCATTTGATCCTTTATTCGATTGTTCATTTGTATTTTGCAAGGAGAATGACCATTTTGAAGGCCATTATTAGGAGAAAGAACTATAGGCAAAGGAGGAACTGAAGTAGGAACAACATTCGAAGCGTTATACTGACAGCGACGAGGGAGAGTTGCAAATGGTGAAACACTATAGCCACTAACAGAAGGAGAAGTTACGAGAGGTGAGTCCGCAAAAAAACGACGATTATTAACAGAATCAGAAAGAGCACCAGGTGAATTAAATTTCTGAAATAGCATTCGAGGCACACATCGTGGAATAGGCTCACTTTGTTGTGGTATATTCTGGTAATAACTATTCACGTCTGTCACCAATGAACTGCATTCATTGTAACAACCGATTGATTGTGGATGAGAACGTGCTTGGTGCAATGGACGTGGATAATTATTCATAACTGTATTAACGTACGAGTCGTACATTGACCTAAAGTCGAAAAATAACGATAATTGAATATAGTGGACAAACTAATTCAATATTCTAATCTAATATTAATATTAATATTAATAATATATTAATAATAATATTAATAATATTAATAATAATTAATATTAATAATAATATATTAATAAATAAAAGATTTTATCCATGCAAAATTATATAAAAACTAGGAAAAAAACGATACAAAAGTAAGTTAGTAATAAAAATAAATTTACTTATAAATATTCCCATCCTTCATTAGCCTTATTTGTTCTCTACTGCCATAATTATTGGCCGAATATTCCTAAAAAAGTGGATTTTCAAATGAAATTCATTTCAGTTCTGAATAAAATTGTATGAATTTACTTCTTTAGATCAAAGCAAAAAATGGAAAATTTCAGCAAAAATTCCAGTAAAAATAAAGGAATGGAATTAAATATTTATTAAATAAATATTAAATATTTGATGAAAAGTAAAAAAAAAGAGACAAATAAGAGACAAATACCCCTCTCGAAGATTCAACATCTGAATCACATCCTGTAATACTTTGCATTGGGAATAAGACAACATCATTTAGATTCGCGACAGGTCGAAATTCAGGCATCCACACCCGTCGATCTTGCAAATGAGCAATAAGTTGGCGTAAAGCATCGAACCATCCATCTTCTTTCGTAGCATCAAGTGTTGCTGCAAATCAAAATTTTTTAATATTACATATGCAACATTTTCTTACACTTTATTAATTTAATTTAATTCGATTTCTCTTAATTTTCTTATTATATAACCAAAATTAGAGGTAAGAAATCTCGTCTTAATAAATCTCATCATCCCTAATTAAACAATCCTATATTTGAAATGAACATTCAATTATAATGACAGAAACGTACAGCTGATAAAATTATTTTACCAGTTAATAAATGTGAATGATGCTTCTTGATTTTTTGAGCTTGCTCGAATAATTTTCTTGATGATGCAGGTGGTGCTCCAGCTTTATTTCTCAGTTCGCGTAATCGACCTCTATTATCCACATCAATAAGAATAACTATTGGTGCATACTGAGCTAACTGCAACCTCTCTACTGACCCTGGACTTATATCTAGCACACAGTGCTGAAACATAAGCAAAATTCATAATTATTCAAAATTCATAACTATAATGTTATAATACTTCATCAAAATTTTTATTAAAATATTGCCAGCTTAAAATATCAAATATTTTGTATACTTTGAATAAAAACTTGAACAAAAAATAAAAGACCTTATTTGCTGTTATAGCCGCATCAATATTGCCTAATCGAACGATATTTTCATCAGCAGTGCCAACAAAATAGAGTGGAAAATTAGTTAGCAACATATGACGAGCAACATCGGCCAATGGCCCATAAAGAACAACAGGCCTGAGATTTGATTTATTCCTTGATTACAGCTCTCTTTTTGCGAGTAAATTTAAGGAAATTCAATAAATATTCCGACCAAAAAATCAAAATTTAATAATCGAGCGAAATCAATTTAAAACTTTTCATGATAATGAATGGATAATTAAAGATTCAAAAGCTCCAATGAGTTCCGACAAAGTACTGACAAAATTAATTTTGCAATATTTGAGAAAAAATTTAAAAGAACCTCAGAAACGATGGTTGCCTAAGAACGACTCGTTCATATGCTGGCAAAGCAATATCATAACCATTCTCGAGACAAGGTAGATCATCGGTGAAATTCTTTGTTAATGATTTCGTTCGGCGTTCTTTCAATTTGCGACGAAAAAATGTTGATCGGCCAAGTGTTGAACTATCGACTCGAGAAAGTTTAGCAAGATTCTCTGCCCTGCAATAAAATTTAATTATATTCGCAATTCATTTGACCATTTTGAATAACCATTTGAATAATTGAATAAAATTTTTTAAAAATATTTAATGCGAACGAAAAAGAAAAAGAAAAAAAAGCTAGAAAATTTAGGATGGAAAACTTTAACATATCTGATAAAATTTTAAGCAAACAATCAAATTTTTTTTCAAAAAATGATGAAAATTTACGTTTCGGCGTTTGGAATAACACCTTTATTCGCTTCACCACCGTAATTACCCTCATTTATACTATAAACACGAGTTGCTTGCCAAAAACCAACAGTACCACCAAATAATGTATCAGTTATGTGAAATATATCACCATTTTGAAAAGTCAATTCTAAATGATTCGACGCCTTTTGGTGTGCAAAATGTGTCCTAAATTTGACAAATATAAATCAATCATCAATTTAAAAAAAACATTTACAATAAAGTGAAAAAAGGTGTGAAAGAAAATAAAAAATCCATTCGGTGAAATCCATTCGACCTTTAAATTTATCTATTTCCAATTTTACGAAAATTCCAATTTTACCTAATATAAAAGTTATCACCAAGTTGACTTTGTCGAATCTGCTCAAAATCTATGCCAGCATGTTCAACTTTCATAACGACATCATCATTTAGAGCAAGTAAATGACGCACAGCCTTAAACGGAAATTTACAAACGTTATAAAATTGCAATATATTTTATTAAAAACATATAACTATGACTATAAAAAACAAAAGCAAATAAACCTCTTCTCTAGTAATTCCAACCATCGATTTGTCATTAACAGAAAGAATTCGATCACCAGGTTTGATTGAATGTTGTGCAGCAGGTGAATCTTCTTGTACAGCAGAAACAAATATTCCCACTCGATTACCGCCAATTACACGTACACCTAGACTCCCTAAAATGAAATAATGAAGAAAACAATAGCAATTTAGCTTCAATTATCCTAAGAAAAAAAACTATAATTGTTCCAAAAAAAGAAAATGGAAATTGATAAATGCTTAAAAAATTAACCACAAGATTTACGAAATCGAACAGTTCTCACTTCACATTCGCCTGGTTCTTGGTTGCTGGTAAGGCTTTCTTTTCTTTTCGAAAATTCACCATAATCAACGGCAGAATTTTGGTCACTATGAACCCATCTGAAATAGAATTTTTTATTTATTTAGTACAAAAACTAATAAATCCACAAATAAAAAATTTGTTAAAATAGCAATAATTGTAATCTGAATGTTGCACCCACTGCTGAGGATCACAATTTTTTAAAGAATATCAAAAAGAAGAGGCCAGCGAAAACGTTAACCTATTTAATAATAATTAATTCTCGTTGATTTTGCCTATTTTATCAGAAATGAAAAATAAATGAAAATAATACCTAGCATTAGCATTAGAACTAGTTGCACAATCAAAAGAAGATCGTTGTGCGACAGACTGATGGCTATTATGCATTGGCGATGGAGAATGTCGAGGAGTTCCTGATAGTGAGCCAAGTCGTTCGTAAACCGTATTCTGGCTGGGCCATCTGAAAAATATAAAAATTATATTCAGCAATAATTACAATACAAGTGAAAAAAATAGTAAGAACCTGCTTGCATCACGACGTATATCACGTTGAACAACTAAAGAAAGTTTTTCACGACTTTTTGCAAGCCATTTCGTTGCTTCTTCAAGTGTTACACCGTCTAAGCTTTGACCATTAATACGTAATACCATATCACCTTCACGAAGACCTGGGTCCTTTTCTGCCAATTTTCGATTTGTTATCTCCTTTATAAAGAATTTACAACCAAGAACAATACCGAAATCTAAAATTATTTTTAGACTTTGATTGTCCAAACTATGTTTAATAGCATAAATCGCTTATTTTACAGCAATGAAAATATTAAAGTATTACTATAAATCAAGTTTAGAATTGTTGCATAAAGTCAGTTTAGAGAGAAGAATGATTACTAAAAGAATGATTTATAATTGATTACTAAAACCATAGTAAAGTGAACAACTGACTTAAATAATTTCCTTATTAATTACCTTCTTTTTTGCGAGATTTCGACAAAGTAAATTTTAAAGTTCGCTGCTCAAATTCAAGAATAGGCACTGGTACACGCCGTTTTATTATCTAAAAGATATCAGCATAACCATGAGAAGAAAATTCAAGCTTCGCATGATTGTATGATGTCACTTTGGTTATATAAAAAAAAAATTCGTAAAACCGACAATCGTAAAACCGACAAAAGTTCTAAGCCCATTTGCAGGCCAAGAAATCTGTTTTAAAAATAAGCTACCTGTGATCAAAAACAATTTTATAAATAGTTTTTCCAAAATTTGGTTCAAATAAAAACCACCTCACCATATTTAAATGTTCAGACTCCCTCATAATTTTTACAGCAGCAGCATACTCAGCATTTTCTAATGAAATACCATTCGCGGAAAGTATTCGATCGTTTACTCTGCAAAAGATTACAACACTCTACGTTATTTATTAATAAAAACTTTCAAATTTTATCGATGATAAATCGATGATCCAAAGAAAAGCAACGAAGAGCAACATACTGAACTAAACCCCAAGCAGGACCCGTCGGTACAACATCACTCACTACAACTGCTGGATCACCGGAAGTAAAATGTGGATTATCACGACCACCCGACACAGCAATTCCAAATCCTATCTGAGGAATCTGAAATTTGCAGCAATAATCGAGTATTTTCATAGAAAAAACAATAAATTCTATTATTTTTACATTTAAATAAAAAAAATTTAAATAATATTTAAAGAACTAAAATGAAAAATGGGTGAGAATTTGACGACGAAAATTATTATTGAAAATTATTATTATTATTGAAAAAATTATTATTATTATCATATAAGCAATATTTAATTATTTAATAATCTTAAAAACACGATAATTCTAAACTTTAATGAATTTTTTTTTTAAAAAATCATTCAAAGATTATGAGAACAATAAAGAAATGAATATAAAGAGAAACCAATTCATCAACAAATATTGAACAGTTGTTCATAGTATTGTAAAACTAATTATAGGAACTGATCGAAGGATTATTTTTCTTCTATACAACAATTCCAATAATAATAATAACAACATTTAGTGGATTTTGCTATTCTCTCAGATCCCTCGAATGTTGGAAATGCCTTTTTATAAATTCTACAATATTCACCACGAAATCCTTTTTTCTCTTCATTCAGTATATGCTATAGTGAGATGAATAAATTAATCAAAAAAAACTAGTTGATTCGCTGCAAGATTGCTGAAATATGATTGATGCAATTCACAAGTTTCTCAATTTTCAGCGGAATATAATAAATTCGTATTTATCGATTTCGAGAATAAAGAAATATATGGAAAAGAAACATATAACCTTATGTATAACCCATTTTTTCTTTCTTGTAACAGCACTTAACATTTCTCGTTTAACTGGCTATTAGGATGAGAATCTATTTGACAGATTAAGATTCTTGAAAGGGTAGGAATATCAGTGGACCCGAACAATCCTGCATTTTAGCTTTAATAACAGGTTTCCCCGTAAAATATGTAGCAGTGATCTATGATGGCTCGACCTCAGTTAAAGCAACAGAGCATCCTGCCATTCCGTCTAATTAAATTTTTTTTATAGTAAGGAAAAAGTGAAAATCACTTTGATTCCAACCAAGAAAACAGTATGAAACACTGAGCAGTAATAATTTCCTACTGAAACGTATAGCACAGAATTTCAAAATTAAGTGCGAATTCTAATCGTCCAGGTGCTTTTTAGCTATCAAACTACCACATAAAATTACACCATCTTTCTTACCATAATCGCCCTTTTAAACATTATTATTTGCTAAAAATATAAAAATTAATGTAAAAAAACAAGTCAAAATGAAAAATAACTAATGAAAAACATAATAATCAATTGAGTTTTCAACAGGAAATCTCGAGCTTCGAGAACTTCTCGAAAAGTAATTTTGAGCTAAAAGGAAGGGAAAAAAAGAAAAGTAAAAAAAAAGATTTTTTGAATTAAAACTTACCCGATGAAGAGTGACTGAAAGCAATTGCCAACTGATATTTCCACTAATCTAAAATAAACTTTTTTAAAATGTTTAATAAAACGCCACTCCTCCAATCAACCTTTATGCAAAGAAAAAAGTGTCTTCTGCAAGAAATATGAAAAAGTGCCATTGCTTGCCTTTTTAATTGAACTTAATTAAAGTGTTCACTCGTAGCCATTCTATATCAATGTGGGTAATTTTAAACGACTAGCAGTATCCTTTCCAACTATGCGAAATCTCACAACACTGAACTTTAATGCAGCTATTTATACTTTCATTTTAACGAGAACTAAGAATTAATATTAACTGAGATAGGCTGTTAGATGAAATCGACTACAACAACAATTGAATTTTGAGAAATTAAGAAAAATCGAATTAATTAATAATAATAAAATGCATAGATAACCTTTGAATTAAAATTTGAAAATTCAAAATAAAGATTTATGGAAATTTATTATTAATTAAATTACTAGTATCACTAATTTAAAAAAATTTTAAAAAAATTTAATTCTAATTAATCGAAAGTAAAGTTGTGAAATTTTGTGCATTCGAAATGAAATTAACCGAGTGGAGGAGGCACACAATTACACATAAAACTAGTTTAATATTTGTCAAAAATGAATTAGTAAAAATGGCAGAAAAAGAGGAAAACGAAAACCGAATAATACTTAATTATGATGACGAATAAAAATTTATTATTTATAAAAATTATTTATTATTTAATAAATAAAATTAATTTATATAAAAAATATATATAATTAATAAAGTTCGATTAATGGGAAATTTTCACAATTTCCTTTAAATCTTTTGCAAATCTACTCAACATTTCTCAGCTTTAAAAAAAACAAACGCAGTTTTTTCAAAGATGATTTGAATTTTCCGATGAAACATAGAAAACTGAAACATAGAAAACGGCTAGCCAATAACAAAATTGATGAAATTAGCACAAATATACCTGTCACACAGTAGGCGGACCCTCCGATCACCTATTTAAAAATTACGCCTAATATGCAACAAATCCAGTAAAAACGAAAAAAAAAGTACAAACCTGGTCATCGTTTACAGGCGGCACAAGCATTTCATTGTTATTACTGTATAAAAGAGCTGCAGCAATCGCTTCACTTTCACTAAATCTTCGTTGTTTGTCGACAGTGATTATTGACGATGGTGACGATGAAATTTGTTGCTCATCTTTAAATGTCAATTTTGGTGAACTTTTACTCATAACCATTGAGTGTTGGTGATTAATTAAGAAATTTGTCCAACTATTTTCAATAGTTTCCATATTAAATCCTTGTCATTTGCCTTAAAACTAATCGCATATATAATTCATCATTTTAATTCCCCTCACATTTCTATTCAACAATCGAACGAAAAGAGATACTACAAATGAGATGAAAAGCGATTTACTAAATTGGAGTTAGCCTATCTCATTAAATAGGCCAGGCCATTGAAGATTTATCCCTCTAATAGCACTACTGGCCTAACTGATTCAATTAGCTAGCTACAATGCGGTTTTCAAGCCGTAAAGTAAATAAACCTTAAGACTAACTCCAATTCGGTGAAGCAAATGTTATAGCTGAGTAAATAAATTGAAAAAATAGCGAGAAAAGCAAGATTAATAAAATAAAAACTTACCGACAACATTCTTTTTCTTTGTTTTTTAGCGCTAACTTTAAGAGAATGACTTCACGCAAAAAACAACGAGATTTGGAAGAAACATAAACGGACAACTGACAATTGTTATAAGAATATTCAACAATGAAAAGTCTCGGAAGTAAGTAAGTATTTGAGAAAAAATTGATGTTAAAAAAGCTGATATTTGAAGAGATAAGAGAAGAAATATAAAATTTTAGGAAAATATTATTATTCATTTTACTTATGGGAATTACAAAGAAAATACGAAAAAGTGAAATGAATATAAAATATTATTTTCGCATTTTTTACATTTGGGAATTTAAACAATTCGCAAAGAATTCTTCATCAAGAAAAATTGTTGAAATACATAAAACTATTTGAAAATTCAACTGGAAATCATCAAATATGAATTTTAAAAAGAAAATGCAAATTTTTTTCGTTCATAGATTTCAACCATTTTAAAAAATTTTATGTTATTTTAAATTTGCAAAAGAAAAAATTAGTACTGGGAGAGAGAAAATCCGAGCGAAAAGAGTTTATTTTTATTAAACTTTAAAAAAATTTGCATAAAAAACAACAAAAATCAACCTTTCCTCGAACATATTTAACGGCGCGTTAGCCAAGTGGACAGTCCGCTATATCAATGCGTTGAAAGGAGAATCCAACTACTCACAGAAATATATTCATTGTCATTTATGAGGATGTCCATCTACATATAAAAATTTTCTCTCCGTGGCAAAAATTATTAAAATATTTTTAATCTGTGATAATATCTGTGATAAATCGTAAACTCTTGTCAGTGTCAGTAAAATTGTTTTATAATCCACATTTAACAAGATAAAAATAAAATTGATAAAGAAATATGGATAAAATGGGAAAAAAGAGAAGTTTTTAATCTGTGATAATATCTGTGATAAATCGTAAACTCTTGTCAGTGTCAGTAAAATTGTTTTATAATCCATATTTAACAAGATAAAAATAAAATTGATAAAGAAATATGGATAAAATGGGAAAAAAGAGAAGCAAATAAAATATGAATAAAAATTTTAGGGGAAAAAAATCAAAATGCAACAAAAAAAAAGAAGAATTGAAAGAAAAGTGATAACATAGCGAACAATAAATCCATAAATCTACGAGGTTATCGAAATCTTTGAAAAATATTTTTAAAAATAATTTAAAAAACTACTTAAAATATTTTTAACGAGAAAACAGCTTTATCAATGATAAAAATAAATCATATGATAAATATCATTCAATGAGAATCATTAAATGTACTTCCAAATCGAATTAATCTTATCTATGATATCAATTCATGGATTAATATGTATTTTTCATAGGAATTCAAAAGAATTCTTTCCATTTAGAAAACGTTTAATGATGATATTGGATTGTGGAAAAAATTAATTGACATTTAATACTAACTTCTGATAAAAAGGAAAAATAAGAGAAAGCGAAAAATTTGTAAAAAAAAAAATCGAATTTGAGTGATAAACCAACCGAACCTTACTAAATAAACAAACAGTTAACCAATTAGTTACTTTACTTTAACTGAATCGCAACGAAATTTTAAAAATAAACTTTATTTTGTACCAAAAAGTTGAAAAATTTTTAAATTTTAAATTAAAATATATGTGTAAATAATTTGAAAAATATTTATTCCTTGATTTAAATTTTATTTAATAATTTATTTTACTTTATTATATATTTACGCAAATAAAACAAACATTCACATTAAAAGAAAATGGAACTGGAATGAAAACAAAGATGGAAATAGTGATAAGGTTTGATAAGTTGATGAAAAACAACATAAGCGCGAGCAAAGGAGAGATATGGAAATATAAGTTTATAAGTTTTTCTCCTAAAAAAACCTTTTCGACCGTATAAGTGATCTCTTTTCTTAAAGCAGCGGTGGTAAACAGTAAGCAACTCGCTGCCTCAAAGTAACAGTCCTATCCTGCTTCTTCAAACTGTAACAATTTGTTCTAAAAATTAATTAATCGTATATAAAAATATAAAAAAATTCCG